CAGAAATAGCTACCTATATCGCCTAGAAACCTCAGAGGGAAGATTTAAATTTTCCCGATTTTTCCGATATGAGGGTTGATGAGGCCAAAATCGGGATCGGAATGATCGGAATTGATCGGGTTGGACCCCCCCCCAGTACGTTACGTGAATTGTCGCGTACAGACGGTAAAGTGATCGACCCCAGGAGGTGACCGGGAATCCCGGTACCGGGATTGGCAATTTTGAGCTATCCCGGTCCCGGTCCCGGTCAACCGGGTCAAGTCACATTTTTCATCCCGGTCGCGGTCCCGGTCCGGGGGTGATGCAACGTCAATTAATGTCAGTATTCCATAAAAACCCCAAACTGACATTGACATTAATTGACATTAATTGACATTAATTGACATTAATTGACATTAATTGACATTAATTGACATTAATTTGTCTTGAAATTTGAGATTATCATTATTCGATAGATATTCACGTCTATGTAAGTTAGACCGGTTCAAAAAAAAACAAAATGTCCTTGAATAATTATGATTATGTTCTTATCTGTTGATCCTGAGGTTCAAAGACCACCAAAAAAAATTTAGCTTCCAACTCTTCCATCTTCGGTCCCCACCGGCCACGCCCATATTTTATTGGTTTCTTATACAGGTAAAATATCTAGAATCGGCTTTTTTAGCATGAAGGAGTAATGTTAGCTGTTTAAGATTCGTTATTCAAATATAAATGTCATGAAGGCATTTCGTTTAATGTGGGTTTTAAGTTCTGATGATGTTGAGAACCACGCCCTTGGATGGCCACGCCCATTTAAGAAAATTAAATTTCGGAAAACCGTTTTATTTTAGTTTTATTGTTTAATGATCTGAATTTTTCACATTTCACATTTCCATATGTGAAAGTAGTGAATAAATTGATGATATAAACGTTCTAAAGTGCTAAAAATATGGTAGAACTACATAATCTCTGGTCGAAAAATATCGTGTCAATTAACCCATTAGGGACGATAGGGTCGTTTACGACCCACCTTTTCTAGAGGCTATAGAGGACAAACCAAAATATTAAACCCCAAGAATCTTTCGCACATATGCTCAAAATTTATTGGGCTACATTATTGACTTTCCAGTCGAGACCCAATTAATCACTAACAACTAAATAATTAGGCTAATTAGTCGTCATAATTGGAAAATATTTCAGGTTACTTCTTGCTTTGATTTGGACATTAAAACTTTATGTAGGCTTATTTTGTTGAGGACAAAGTAGTTGCGGGCAACGATTTCCTTGAGACATATGAAAAGCCCGTGATAATCAGATGTTCACAAACAGAGCTAGACGCTGTTTACTAACTGCGGTCGCATACGACCCACTCGTCCGGGTCGCAAACGACCCATCACGGTTTTTCGGCTTTAACGTCTGAAACAAAGACGTTAGGATAAAATAAAAACTGTAGCATAAGTTAAAACCATATGGTCAATACTGTGTGACTCTAACTTTTAAAAATTAAAGAATTTGGGTCATTAACGACCCACTCGGCTCACTTGCTTATTACTACATATGTCCATGTAACTTCTGGAATTCAGCCTAAAACATGACATCATAGGTGCAAAATCGCCTCTCAGCAAGTGATAATCATCATAAATTGCGAAAAATCGGTTAAATGGGTCATTAGCGACCCACTAGGACCACAAAATTGATTAATTAAATATAATGTTGTCAAACTTTTACAAATATTAGTATAAAAACATGTTATATCTTGGTCATTACTCCTGTACGTTGATTTAACTTTTAAAATCGATCGACTGGGTCAATAACGACCCACTCGGAAGTTGAACCACGACATTAATTATCAGTATCATGCTATTCCACCATTAAGAAAGACACTCGTAGGCCTAATTCCACGCAAACCACGGTGGCTGACAACTAGCCCTTCTGAGATCCAGGGCCATCTGAAGGGCCGTCATCACTCATCAAGAGCTGCGAGAATAACACGACTGCATACATGCCTGAAGTTGCGTCTTGAATATGGTGCGTGGACATCTGTAACGAAAGGACCGTGGCCGTGCCGCAAAAGAAAAGGAAATCGGCCCTCGTTCCTAACTTGCTAGATAATAGTCATGCTGTTGTTGTTGCTTATTACATTCTGTTACCTTTTTCTTCAATTTCGAATCTTGGTAAACGACCTGCTACAAGCCACCGCTTGAGACCCAGGGTCTTACGGTGATCAGATCATGTCACTCAAGAAAAATCCCCTGAACGGAGTATACGAGATATCCTGTAACCTTGGGTAAATACTGAAAGACGAGTGGTCAAATTGCATATTCTAATCCAACATGCCAATCTGTTTGACATTCCTAGAAAGTATGAGAATAACTAAACAACTGTTGCATTCAGATGGCTACATCTACAGCTCTGTAAAGAAGGACAAGGAAAAAGCCCCCCCCCCCCCCCCCATTTGGCTGCCGGTGCTGCAACCTGCAATCTCTCAGACAACTACCTCGTTGTGGGTAACAACAACGAGGCAGCTTTCAAAACGAAAACAAGTATTACTTAATCGGCCTAGAGGGAGGGGAGTTTCCAAATGATTACGCTTGTGTACTTTTGACATAATAGCTATGTGGTGGGGGGGGGGGGGGGGGGGGGGGGGGGTAAAAATTGTCCAATAAGTAATTACGTAATATATGAACGGCCCCTAAGAAGTAAAGAAAGGAAGCTGCGAAAAGAGTAGATGCAGTCGTCTGAAATCTGAATCCAGCAGTTGTACACTGTACAGTTCTTGTTGGACGTTCTATGAATCGGGAAAAGATGGGCATGTTGTTTGCTGTCTCGCGACATTACGGTCGTGTACTAACAGCTGATAAACTCACCTACCTATCAATCCAATTCTGCCCATTATTCGTCAGTGATTGGGTAACGTGATCTGCAGATCACCGTGAGACTCCAAATCTCAGGAGGGCTAGTGGTCAAACTGGTCATCCACCCGTGGTTTGCGTGGAATTAAGACCTACGAGTGTCTTTCTTAATGGTGGAATAGCATGATACTGATAATTAATGTCGTGGTTCAACTTCCGAGTGGGTCGTTACTGACCCAGTTGATCGATTTTAAAAGTAAAATCAGCGTACAGGAGTAATGACCAAGATATAACATGTTTTTATACTAATATTTGTAAAAGTTTGACAACATTATATTTAATTAATCAATTTTGTGGTCCTAGTGGGTCGCTAATGACCCATTTAACCGATTTTTCGCAGTTTATGATGATTATCACTTACTGAGAGGCGATTTTGCACTTATTATATCATGTTCTAGGCTGAATTCAAGAAGTTGCATGGACATATGTAGTAATAAGTAAGTACGCCGACTGGGTCGTTAATGACCCAAATTCTTTATTTTTTAAAAGTTAGAGTCACACAGTATTGACCATATGGTTTTAACTTATGCTACAGTTTTTATTTTATCCTAACGTCTTTGTTTCAGAAGTTAAAGCCGAAAAACCGTGATGGGTCGTTTGCGACCCGGACGAGTGGGTCGTATGCGACCATAGCTGTATCTATTAAAGTAAACGAGATACAGATTAGCTTTTTTGGATATCTCATTTTTGCAGTGAAGTGACCTAGTGTGTTAAACGGCATCAAAATCGGCAAACTTTAAAACTCGTCGTCCCTAATGGGTTAATGTCAGTATTCCAAAATTTTGCAAAACTGACATTGACATTAATTGACATTAATTGACATTAATTGACATTAATTGACATTAATTGACATTAATTGACGTTGCATCACCCCCCCCCCCCCGGTCCCGGTCAAATGCTGATTTATGATCCCGGTCCCGTCCCGGTTAATTCAGGATTCTTGGTCCCGGTCCCGGTCCCGGTCAATCACTCAAATTTGCCGGGATTTTGACCGGGATCTTTCACATAATTTCATTCACTGTGATTTTAAGTTTTTACTTTCATTCATTGTGAATTTCATCTTTAAACAACCTCTGAGCCAAATAACACAATGTTTAAAATTGCTAAACAAGTTTAGGTAACTAATATCGTTACATAACTCATAAGTGCAAACTAACATCAAGTTTTCAACTCGGGCTACGCCCAATTGTCAATTGGAATTGGAGAATGAAACTGTTGAATAATTTGAGGGATCATTGATTGAGGAATGAGGAATGAGGGTGAACTTGAGTAATCAGTACATGAACATTATTGGTGTAGTACATTAGGCCCATGCCCCATATTGACGGTTTTTTAAAAGTTTTTTCTAATTTAATATTCTAGTTATTACTTATTCAAATTGTTCAATTATAATGTAAATGAAAGTTGCAGCTTTCAATATGAGAATACCAGTTTTGGTCCCGGTCATCCCGGTCATCCCGGTAAAATTGGATTGTTGGTCCCGGTCCCGGTCCCGGTAAGATAGAAATCCCAGAACTTATTGGTCCCGGTCACGGTAAATTGATAATCTCAGTCCCGGTCCCGGTCCCGGTCAAGTCACATTTTGTATCCCGGTCCCGGTCCCGGTCCCGGTCAGGCCTAAAATCATGTCCCGGTCACCTCCTGATCGACCCTTTAGACTTAGTTACGCTACCACCTCTATCACCCCTTCAATCGCTCACCCCTACTAAGAGAAAGAAAACTTCGCCGGTTGAAGACGGTAGTTGATATTTGGGTTACAATGTTTTATTTTTTCTTCACTTACTGGTAATTTCCGTCAAAAATTTAAAAAGAATGTTCACTGTTAAGGACACAGTTTATTTTACATCCAAAACGTGTTGGGAATTTTCAAGATACCACATTCCATATGACACGTAACATGGATCATTCAACGTCAATTAATACAGCCACGCTCTTATCCCATGAATTTGTGTTTATGTTTGTTTGTATATTACATAACCACTTTATATTACGTAATCAATCACTTTTCCGACAATTTGTACCCATGCAACTCATCCCACGTAACTGGAATATTATAAGACTTAGCTTATAAATTCTAAATAGATTTCTAAACGCACACCTATTTTTCAGGAGGTGATCTACAATAATGAAAGATGATCTATTTCTGGCCAGAAATTTGCGGAGTTCAATCGTCTTGATATCAGTCTTGGCTGCAGTTGTATCTCTAAAAATCAGGTATACATTATTTTAAAATAAAACTATCCTTCCTGGCTTAAACCCTGGTTGTTAAAACTAAAAGCCGCCTTGCATATTCATCTTTGAATCAGATTTGTTAATTTGGTAATTTCATGATAGAAGTTGAACATTTTCTCCTCATTTTCACACGTAGTAGCTTATTTTCTTTCCCTCAGTGACGGTTTGAGGAGACACTGCATCTCACTGCTCAGTGGAGACACGGGGATATGAAGCAGTTTTCCCTCTTAAAGTCCACTGAACGTTGTCACAGTCCGATCAGAGTAAGCAGCAAAGATAAAAAGAGACTTTACCTCTGATGTCAGACAGATAAATTTTGACGAAAACAGACCTCGGAGGGTTTAGTAAAGTAAACAGACTGGCTATGGTCCTAGTACAAGAGGAGGAGAACAAGATACTCGCAATCTGTACGACTAGTTACTCTCCAGTCTAAAAGGACTAGGACGAAGCAGACAAAGTGAAGAAGATTCTCGACGACCGGACCTAGCAGATAAAATAATAGCCGTTGGATTTGATACGACATCATCAAATACTGGAGTTCACAAAAGAGCATGTACTTCTCTTCAGCAGGTCCTCAATCGACAGATCCTCTGGATGGCCTGCAGACATCACGTCCTGGAGGCGGAGCTTGTAAGAGGATCTGCCTCCAAGCAACTGTTCGGTGACACAATATCACTCGAAGTAACCCTCTTCAAGATCATGAAGACCTCCTGGGAATCGATCTGCAGAACATCGTCCTTCCCGATATCCCTACGCGCTAAAGGAACGACGTAGGAGATATTCTATCCTTTATTAATCACATCCGTCAACTCAACAACCAGCCCAGAACATTACAAGGAATTCCTAGAGCTTGCTAAACTAATCCATAGAGAAAGCATAGATATGAAGAAAGGATACGTCTTCCAGATACAAAGACCTGGAGCTGACCACCATGCCAGATGGATGGCTAAGTCCATCTACATTCTACATTATGAAGATGGCTTTTCTTCACTAGATACCAATTCACTGTACGAAGAAGAGAAACGTGCAGAAGATGGCTCACTTTGTTGTCTTCGTTTATTTGAGAGCTTGGTTCAGCGCTCCTTTCCTTGAATCTACAGCCTCCGCCGACACCCGTTTGTTACAGAGTCTTCAAAGGTACAAGAGTGTGGACATAGTATCAGCCATCACCACGGCAGTCCTGAAGAGGCAAACATGGACCTGACTGAAAAGCTCGTCCCACAATCCTTGTTTGATAAAGACCTACCTCTAGAGCGAAGAGCTCTCCTTGCAGCAAGAATAGGCCAACAAACTCTTTGAGCCTTATGAACGTAAAATTATCTTAATTGATAAAAATTTTTTTGGATATGTTTTCCTTTTATGAACCTCTTTATAATGACCAAATAAGGATGTTGGTATAATTTGTCGTAGTCGTACGGGTAATGGTTTTCAACATACGTTCTACACTCTAATTTGGGTTTAGATTTTTAATAGTCTCTAAGGACTACTTGAAGTAGTACGTGTTAAAGTATGCTACGTGCAGTTGGTCGAGTACTGAGTGATCAATCATCTTCACATGTTTACTGTTTCAGTTTAGTGTAGACCTTGTTGTAGAAACTCAGTACGGTGCTCCGCAGTTAATGTCATTCTGTATCATACGAAAATGCATAGCTAGCATGAGGTATGATAATCCCTCGTATCGGAATCTTTTACATATCTAATCGATTGAGTACCTGGGGACCCCGTTTTAGGTTTTCATACACGTATCAGTCATGAATCAAGCATATTTACTAAAATCTAATATTAATATAACTACTGTGTTTGAGAACACAAAGCCCGGGGTCCCCGGGTAAGTTAAAGCTGAAAATATTCTGAGTGATTTGTGTATTTGGTAATGGTACTGGCTGTAGCACTGACAACTGTGAACTGAGCACTCTCGTGAATAGCTATTTGTCAATAGTTTACGAATGACTCCATTATCAACCGTTCTCTTTAAATTATGTAATAAAATTATTAGAATATGATCTTTAAATTATGTAATAAAATGATTAAAATATGAAAGTTGACATAAATTCTGTGATATGTCTACCACCTTTTTCCACTTGATTGTATTAACCTTTAGACCTCCGGCTTTTGTGTTCTTTAACACGATTGATATATAATATGGTGGAATGACATTGGTCGCGTTTTTGGTGTGGAATGCTAGGCGAGTTGTCGTGTGATCATTAACAATTCAGTAATAGTAATACTAGTTATACCATCATGAAACCTCTGATCCGTCAAAGTTCGGGATTGCAATTGCAATTGCAAATTGACCAAAACAAATGAGAAACTTCATAAAGTATCACAACGCTACCGCACTAGTAACTTACAACATGTCGCTTGTCGGCTTGTTGCCACTCTGTCACATACTGCTTTTAAAAGGTCTACCGATATGCGATTATCATTACAAAACATATATTTTGCGCGCTCAGCATTCCACGCGCAAAAACGCGCCCGTCCGAGAGACCTGCGCGTATTAGAGGGTTCAGTCTCACCAGGCTATGTTAATGAACATAATAGCCTGGGGTCCTCAGGTAAATAAGTCAATTCATCGCAGCTCGGCCAGGCCTTGTTAGTAGCGCATTTTGCCAATCTAGCGGTTGCGGCCCAGTAACGCATCGCGCTACAAATACATACAATGTAATGTGTACAAGTGCAAAGTGCAATTATGTGTACTTAATGTCGCGCGCGAGCTCAGCTCCAACTAATTGCTGTAAAAAAAGCATCATATCAGTAAGGCTAAGTTTTCTCATGGGAGAAACCGGAAGCACTGCAGTGTAACATGTTACATAATGTTCATAAACGCCGCGCCGATTACTAGAGATTCGGCGGAATGACATTACATGCTAAGCGCTGCCCTGTATTTATTTGAGTATTTTTGATCTCAATCTAGACCGTCTACGAGTCCAATAGAAGCGCGCGCGCCCGCCTATAACAAGTAGACTCATTGGATATGTGAAGATTATTGATTATAACGCGATGTCGACCCTTCGAGATCGTTGCATGCTCTGCGAAGAAAAACGATGGTTCGCGCGGCGCGTTGAAGTCCTCCATTTTAATTAAGTAATAGTAATGCACATCACGTGCCAAAACAAATTAAATGTGCCTGTGGTCCGCCTTTTATCTGAGACACCGTGACTTATGTCAGGCACTCTAATCCAATTCCAAGTCGTTGATTCAATAATTTTTTATGTGGCTATAACTTAGCAACAGTGTGATATTTTAACATTAGGTTTTATTATAAGCATTCAGTTTTATCTTCTCCTTTTGACCAAGTTTGCCAGACAAAGAAAAATTGCGAAGTATTCTGAGTAGAGGGAGTAAGGATTAATTAGTTAGATGTTTGGGCGGTTTTTTAGCATTTAGTTACGAAGAAGAATTCCGTGAGACATTTAGCATCTAGGATTAGGAGTCCGAGTAGGAGTAGTACAAGTTCAAAACAACGAAATCGATTAATAAATCGTCAATCCAAATTAAAAAATTCAATATAAACTTACAAATATACTATTTGCAAACAACTTTTCAAACTCCTACAACCAATTGTTTCTCTCAAATCACCAACCTTAAAACCCTCTACCTAAAATCAAGTAATTAAAATCAAGAATTCATTCAGATCCAACAATGAATTACATCTGGCATAATATTAATACTGCTGGTACATATGGATGAAAAGGGTTGGGCGAGGATAAAACATTTGAAAAGATGTGGCATACTGAAGCTAACCACGTCAAATTTATACTATCTACATTGCATATATAGTAGAGGCTCTTACGGGCTTTGTCTGCTCGATACACTAAAATCACCAGACCCATCTTAAAAGACGTATTTTTGACCGTAGAATCGATTAAAAGTGGTTAGAAGTGTTTAAAATGGGGGTTACCTGGTTTTATTTTGAAAAAAACCGTTTTTTGGCCCCAAAAATGGCCATTTTTTGAGGTTTTTTAGAAATTTCGACAGGTTAATTCAATGAAAAAGCTTAGATATTTTGGTTTCTTGTACATTTTTATTTGCCGCACTAGCTAATACCAATATAATAAGCACACCTAAGAGTTTACCCGGTCAAAATTTTAAAAAACCTCCCAAAAAAATGTTTTTTTGCGCGCTAAATTTTTTCGGCTCTTTATACATCCATAATGAAATATTTTTGCCCACAAAGTGTTTTAATACTGTTCAACAATACTATTTGATAGTTTTTCAGCGTCAAAACAAGTTTCGAAAACGGAAGAAAAAATTATATTTTTCGTGGTGCTGAGCACTTTGAAAATTTTTGAATAAAATCGAGCGCTACCGTAAAATTTTAGTTACCCTTCCCTGAAACTCATTTAAGTTTTTGTACCGTTAGTGTTTTGTCCTTTTCTGAAGTTCATGCCTTCTCTGGCTTAATTTCATTTAATATTGTTTAATACAGTACAGTAAAGTGTTTTATAATAGTAGAGTGCCATTTCTAATACTTCAATGTTACATTGTTGAGATACCTTTACTTGACTGATTACCTTTTGTTAATACAATTTCACAAATTTAGTATTGCATTGCTTATATGACTATTTGGATTTATAATAATTTATCGATTGTGGGTATGAATAAACTTTTGGTTCACAATCAACAATATAATGTCTACTGTGTGGTACCCTTACAAGATTAATTGAAGATCTTTTGACAAGAATGCCTGACTTAAACCCCCTCATCCATCACTCATTCCGTGTTACCTGTTGGATGTGGAGGACCCCTACCACAAACTGAAATATTGTAAAGGTACCCTTCAGTACATAAATAGAGCACTGTAAATAATATAGATTAGTTACTGCTATCTTCTCAATGCAATTTTGAATACATGTCAGGAACACCTGACTTAAACCCCCTCATCCATCACTCATTCAGTGTTGCCTGTTGGATATGGAGGAAATCTACACCACAAAGTGGAATATTGTAAAGGCACTCTTCAGTATACATAAAATAGAGCACGGTAAATAATATAGATTAGTTGCTGCTATCTTCTTAACATGATTTTGAATTTATAAAATAGTAGTAGAGTAAATGTGAGGAATGCCTGACTTAAACCCCCTCAGCCATCACTAATTTACACATAAAATAGAGCACGGTAAATAATATAGATTAGTTGCTGCTATCTTCTTAACATGATTTTGAATTTATAAATAGTAGTAGAGTAAATGGCAGGAATGCCTGACTTAAACCCCCTCAGCCATCACTAATTTCGAATAAATGTATAGATGCTGCATTGAATTCATGAAGATATCATTCGTTTTGAGCAATCATTCCTTAGCTCCCCCGTTCTTTGATTGTTTCAAAGAAGTAGTCATACTACAATATGTATTGTTTAGTTACATCTATTGCCAAGTTATTTAAGCCATTTCATCTCTAGTAGATTACAATAATTTCTGTAATTCTGAATTATGTTGCTGAACAAACTTGACAATCACCATTAGAAAGAAGGTGACATGTTTATGGACCCAGAACTAGCTAAGACAGTTCTCTGTGTACATGCGGATCACTTCAAGAATCTTCCTGATGAAAGAAGGTTGCGTGGTTTGTTAAAAGACTTCGATCCGCTCACAGCCATGCAGATTAAGAAGAATTTAGATCGACATTATTTTGATAACAATGAAAACTCAAATGGTTTGATTTTTAGCTAAATTACCATAATTATTATAATTAATTAAATACAGGCTGACAATGTTTCATTTCGCAAACTGTATCTGAATAATGTAATTTTAACTGAATCTTAAGCTGTTCAAACAGCTTTTTTAGATGATGTTATCGATGCTGTATAAGTTGAAACCTTTTGATGATGAGAGGTACATGAACAAACCTACACTAAACAATACTACATTCCAGCTTGGAACGAAATGAGTGGAGTTGAACGACGCCCTGTTTATTGAAACTTCATCAATCAACTTTTAAACTATGCAGGTTATTAATGAAATGAAATGAAATACTACTACTTTGTCGGAACTAAGTCCGATCTACGCCAGATAACCCCCTCCATATATCCCTGTCCCGCATCAGGGTTCACAGTTCCTCTTTTGAGTTTGTCCCAATTTGCTTCAGTAACATAGACAAGTAGCTTTGTCTTGGTCGGCCTTGCTGTGCTCTACCATGCATAGGTTTCCATAAGACTAAATCACTGGCAAGTAGCTCAGGATGTCTGATGCAGTGTCCTGCCATTTTTAGTCTCCTGCTTCGTAACTTGTTTGACAGCCTTGGTAGACTACCATACAAAGTTATATTGCTGACTTTGTCCTTCCATGAGATACTTATGGACGTATGTCACTCATTATTATGTATCACCCTAATTTTGGAATTTTACTCTCCTAACGGTATTTTAATATCTCCAAAACAGTCTCAATTGATTACAGAAGTCAATTGACCCTTAGTTTATACAAAATTTGACAATTTTTGTGTGAAGATTTTCAATCGTTTGGGTGGGTGCAACAGGAGGGGCTAAGTGCAAAGAAACTGCTGCTAACTGCTGCTCACTGCTGCTCACTGCTACTAACTGCTGCTCACTGCTGCTCACTGCTGCTCACGGCTGCTCACTGCTGCTCACTGCTGATGTCGCGCGCGTTCCCATAGCAGCAGTGAGCAGCAGTGAGCAGCAGTGAGCAGCAGTGAGTAGCAGTTGCGCGCGGCGTGCGTTGTGCAGTAAAGACACGCATATAACTGCTGCTAACTGCTGCTCACTGCTGCTCACTGCTGCTCACTGCTACTAACTGCTGCTCACTGCTGCTCACTGCTGCTCACTGACAGCAGCAGTGAGCAGCAGTGAGCAGCAGTTAGTAGCAGTTAGTAGCAGTGAGCAGCAGTGAGTAGCAGTGAGCAGCAGTGAGCAGCAGTTTCTTTGCACTGAGCAGCAGTGAGCAGCAGTGAGCAGCAGTTTCTTTGCACTTAGCCCCTCCTGTGGACCCGAACCTACACGGTGGAGCCATGCCTGCTTTGGCTATCTGTTTCATTTCCAAGACCAACCGCTGATGGATAGCTCGATCTTCAGGTGATCGATCTGGAGAGATGAAAACAGTCTTATGATCTTCACACAGTCTCAGCTTTTTGGCATTTACTAATATCTGATGAACGGTAAGTTAGAATTACCTAGCGAAACTTTGACTGGTCTCGTCTTGTTGGCTGATTTTCTCCCAACCCAGATAGCTTCAAAACGTGGTTTTTCTTCAATCTGCTGAAAAATCACGGTAACTTTATTGCACAGTTCCTCTTCATCAGTCTCCTTCAAACCAAATATGAGCACATTCCTACTGCGATCCTCTTCCGATACAGCATTCTGTACAACCTTTTTAAACTCTCTTCTGCAAGCACAGGTGCATTTTTAGTCACAGCTTGACTGTATGACTTCATCTCAGCTTGGACAGTGTCTTGAACGGCGGTCTTGACGGTGGAGTGCACGGATTCCAACTGCTTCGATTTAGTTTCCAGAAGTTCAGCCTGCAGCTTGATAACAGTACTTTGCGATCGGATAAGATCGCTCTTCAACTCCTCCATATCTTTCTTGTTATCAAGAAACGTACTTACATGATTATCGGTAGTCTGATACGCAGAATACAAATTACAAATGTTTTACTGAAACTGACTTCACTGAAAACTCAGATTTATTGTCACTAACAGTTCGTAGCTTCCGCGAGTTCAGTGATCCAACCGTTATAGACCTCATACTCTTCAGTAATGTAGGTAGAATAAACTGACAATCTTTGAAGAGTATCCATTTCCTCCATCGTTTACTTGTACTTGTATAAAGTAAAAACACAGTACCAGCAAAATGGCAGTTGTTATGTAGCGATAAAATAGAGATAAGAGCTAGATTATCAACACGTAACAAAAACTGTAAAACTGTATCATAATATTATGATGCTTTTAACATCATCTGTTGTGATATACATGACAAAGGGTTGGAAATGTACAGTAACCTTACTATATTGCAATTACACAATATTATGTGAACGACCCCTAACCCCTTATAGGCTCTATAAGCATTGAATAATGATAACTGCAGGGTTTCAAAATGTACAAGGCATCATATCAAAGATTGCATATGCCCGAAAGAAGGACAAATCCAATTTGGCTTTCTGGATGTATGGAAAGCTCTCAACCTTCCAGAAAAGTACTTTTCAAAGGAACACTTAAATCCCTCCGACAGGTAATTATTATAAATAATAATTTAGTCTACACTTCATTATGTCAAATCACCTACTATAATGAAGAACTAAAATTGTTGTGTTAACCAAGTTTAATGTGACTCAATTTTGGTGGAACTTTAGAATTTGGACGTTATATCTATCATGTTCATCTTAAATCTCATATATTATATACTCAATATTCAATTTAAACAGACAAAGATAACCTCTCTAGGCCCTCTGGTGGTGACGTATATAAGTGCTTTCTCAGTTCTTTCTCTCGCTTTTGGACAAATCCAGTGAGTTAACTTTTTATCAGTGGTCGACCGGGGGCAGGATTCTGACCGGGGCCGGGGAGCCCCAATATAGCCGGGGCCGGGGCTGACCACTGAGAATTGGCCGGGGCCGGGGTTTACCCCCGGCGAATTGCCAATTTTTGGCCGGGGCCGGGAAGGGCTAAGGGTTGTGATTTTGGCCGGGGCACCGGTCGACCACTGCCTTTTATGTCACGATTTTTAAAACTTTATTCATAAGTTTATGAAACATCAAAACTTTGCATGCTCTGCATAATGTAAACTCAGTCATGCACTAGAGCACAGTTCACATATAACCTAATCCACCCTAGGGGAGGGGGTTTGAAATCGCTTGTGCTAGAGTGATTTATACTCAATAGCTATGTGAAAAGTGGCTCAAGGAGGGGAGACCGACGTAAACAATTTTGAATTGGTAGAAGTTAAGTTTAGGCTTTAATGAAAAACTATTTAAAGAATATCATTCTTTTACCACAGACATAAGACTTTGCCGTAGGGTATACAAAAATGTGACCATTCATCAATTTTCAGAGTGCTGTATCTGTACCCGAATAGAAATAAAGATAAAATAAAAATTTTAATGAAACAGTTTTCTTCCGCTCTGAAAGTGAACGAATGACAAAACAGTCTAGAGAATTCCTCGCCCTGCTGTAGAAGATCAATCCTGGGTTGTGCTCACCAAAGCAAACCTCTTTTTTGTGTATTCAGTGTCTTAACTATGTAAAAGACAACTATAACAGGGTGAGTGGTTTCCTCCTGTTTTACTAACATTTAAAAACATTATTATTCAAAGGTAAATAGACAGCGAGTAGTAATTTTTAATCCATTTCTATCGGATTTGCAAACTTTTAAATGATATAACACTTGTACGATCTCAAACTTATGTGATATGATACTGTTGATATAAATGTGGGAAGTAATAAAGTATTTGCAGGTGTACAGTGCTGTTTCTGAAATTGACGAATCCTCTTGTGATGAAGATTGAAGAAGCTATTGCCATCCAAGTGGAAAAAGTCCCGCCTTTGTCACCCTCCTCGAATAGAACTAAGAAAATGTGGAGACTATCTTCATTTAGTTCCCAATCAAGTGGACCAGATGTTGATTTGTTTGAAATGGACTGAGACTTGTGTTTCATATGCCAGGTTGAACAGGTTTGTGTGAAAATTTTGCTCGCAAATATAATTATTATACATATTATCTCGATTTAATTTTAAGAGTATGAGAGGTTATTCTTCTTTAACAATACGAATTTCCCTAGACGTTAGAAACGAAAAAGGATAGTATGATTCAAGGAAAAGATAAAAGTTTCTTCGTCGATTTCGCAACATACTATCTGTGGACATCTACAGAAATCGTCAGGATCTGTGCAACATCGATCTTAATCCTGATTCGCACATGAACAAGTGCCCTGTTCTTAACCCTGAGAGTCTCGGAAAATATCTCTATAGCAAGCTAGGTAGATATCACAAAACATGTCGTTTGAGGTACAGCAACTCGAGGGTGAAACAATTGAAGGGTAAATTATCTGAAGCTGTAAGTTTAAAACCTGTCTCTAAGGCAGGTTTTAAAATGGAAAGACACGTGTCCACGCACGACAACACCAATGCTGCATTAATGAGTGCAGGTATTGACGCTGTACGGACCTTTTAACTGGAGCAGGAGAATGTTTTACCAGAACTGTACCTCGTGTCTGACCTGAAGCTTAAGTACAATGACTATGTGACGTCTAATTTATCTGAGAACGCTGCAAACTCAAGCAATGTTTAATCTGATCACATCAGTTTTCAGAAAGACAATGTCGGTAAGACGAGTTTGTTTCGACAGCAGAATCGTATCTAATCTTGCCGCAACAATAGATGCGGATAGAGATGATAACACTTTAACAAAGACAGCACTCATAATATAAAGGAGATCAGAAAAGAAATCTTTCAATGTAGAAACGAATTCTATCAGCTATGTTCGATTTACTGATCGGTGGCATCTGTAGAAATATAGTGTTTATGTGGATTAATCTGTTAAAGCAGGGCTATTGTATCATTTTAACATTAACTTTGCATAGTGATGATACTTTTATTGTGTCTCTTGTGATTATCTATTTCTACAGTGTTACGGTACCACGAGGTTTCTGGCGCAGTAATGCGCTTTTGAGCAATATACGTCACGCGCCGCAACCGAATCAGATTTAAGTGCACTTTTTTCATTGTAAACACTACATACGACGCGCAACACGTTCTACGAGGTCGAAATTTTCGAGGTCTCTAACTCCGGAATAGAGCAATATTTAGACGATCTGACACTTTCTGGGGCTTAAGCAACCTAAGAGAAATTAGGGGAACAACTCAGAAAAAATTTTTAGTCGATATTCCGGTGTCTGTAGATGTCCGAAGTTTTGGCAGTAAAGTGCTCACAACACAGCTTCTGAATGCTCTAGAAGGTTCCCGATACCGTCAGAGTGTTCAGTACACTCCATTCTATCATATAAGAACCCTAAAAGAAGTCCCAGAGCTCGAGCAGAGAAGTGCGATATTTGCCCGTAAGAGCCTCTACTAATAACTAAGTATTCAACCAAAAAAAACAGCTAGTGTATCTAATAAAATAACGATAATTCACACTTATTTAAACAAAGCAATTGCTCTACTTTACACAAGAGTTTTTAAATCCCTTACAACAATTTAAACCTATAAATTAGGTTTTAACCTTCTGAAATCATGTCTTTTGACTGGATCGGATCAATCTTCTTTATTCATCTGAAGGTGAAAAGTATAACTGATGACATGTGATATGATGACGTCAGACAGCTTCACATTTCCTCATTCTCATGCAACTCTCTGACAGTAACGGGTAAAAATCACCGTCCTAGAAAACACTGATTTCGCCACAGGAATGGTCTCAAGTAAAATCCGATTGATACATTGCTTGGTAAGTCACGTTATCAATCACGTGTTTTCTTCACATGAATGATGTTTCGACTAGAATTTTAGATTTGCACGTATTGACGCGCGTCTCCAGGTTACTGGTCTCCTTCCACAGTGCACTGAGATAGCCGGGCGAGTTTTCGTTCATCGTACTGTCCACCGTTACTGAAAAAACAACCAATTATAAAGTGGATCGGGGAAATCAGGTCATTGTTAATTTTTCATATTCAACTTGTCAGATTATTGGATTTGATGATATGAAGATATTAGTGTACATTTCAATAATTACAGCATTCTAAATTCGCGCGGCTCGAATGTAACTTACAGTCAGGTTTCCAATCGGTGCTCATCAAGTTGTCTTTTGTACACTTCAGTTCTGATAACAGTTCGAATTGTTTCCTCCGGAGTTTTTCGATCAGAGAGTTCCGCCGTTCCAGGATCCTAATTTGCTGGTCGAAATAGTCGAGGTCCTGGTGAATTACGGAGGTCAGTTGATCGAAACTATCATTGCAGAGTTTTAAGTTGCGGTTGATCAAGAATTAGTTGGCTGAAAGTAAACTACATGTAAGAAAGAAAGTGGGGTTAAGAGAATGTCGAAAGAGAAAGAGAAAGAGAAAGTGAAAGTGAAAGTAACCTGAACAGCACCCCTCCACTGCATCTTGTGCTGAACCAACTGCTCGATCTCTTGCACCTCTTCATACAGTTGATCTAAGTAAAGTTCCTCTACTTCTTGGACTACCCTCTTTTTCTCAGACTGAAACAGTTAATTTGGTAAATATAAATATAGCCCAGGTAATGGGGAGTAATCATTATTATGGGATTCGAAAGTAATTAGTTTGAAAACAGTATATAATATGTAACGCGCGGCAATCCACTTGGTTTTTTATTGTTAGACAGATCAAACCAGGTTTGAGAAACAACTATTTTGTAAATTCTAATCTGACTAACTCCTTAACAACTCACCTGATTTTCAGCGTGTCGGTTGTTGCGGTGTCTGTGTCTCTGCGAGGGACCGTCTGACTGGTACCCAGAACTCCGGGGTTTGGGTCGAGCGCTGGAGGAGTTGGAAGAAGGAGCATCAGTGCTGTATCCTGACCTCTTGTCATTCCGCCTGTCACTGTGCCTCAAGTCTCGATTATTGACGTTAGCACCATTTCCCCTGGTTAACAACTCGTCCTCTGACATAGAGTTCTTCACTCTCTTCGGCTTCACCTCTCTTATCTGGGGCTTCTCACTGAAGTCAATAGGTCCGTAGTCTATAAACTTGCCAGTGGGGGGAGTCTGCCTCTTCTTCTTGATCTTCTGAAGCCACTCCCGGGATATCTCCGTCTTCTCTCTACTGGATTTAACCCCACTGTCGCTCTTGTACCCTGACTTGCTCCTCCGGGGACGGTTCTCGTCCAGGAACTGGTCCAGCACCGCACCATCATCCTCCGTGTCGTATATAGTGTAGAGACGTCTGTTATCTACCTTACTCCGAGATTCTGATCCAGTTCGTACTCGGAGTTTCACTTCCTCGTTCTCCTTGTCCTCCTCTAGGATAGGATCTACCACGTTGTCCTGCACTGGGGCTGATTTAGTGGGGTTCTCTGCAGACCATCCTGCTTTGTCTACTGCTTTGTCTTCACTAACTGCACTGTCTGGGGTTGATATTCCTGAAACAAGGTTTCATTGAGGATGGAATAAGAATGGGGGCAATAGTTATGAGTAAACTTGTTGAAGGAGTGGGGTATAAAATCTTCATAATCTGACGTAATAAGTGAACTTATTGGTTGTAACGGGAATTATTGGCAGTTTAAAATCATTTCTAAAATTAGAAGATTATGATAAGATGATAGGAGAGTGCTGCATAAATTTTCAACAACAATACTATAATAAAGTTATATTGGTACGACCATTTTCTTTCTTATTGCAATGAAAATGTACGGGCATTTGGCGTGATAAACCAATACTTTTAAAACTTTTCTTACAGTTAAAGTTTTGCAGACACGGAAATTCTTAGAAAATACAAAGTCTACGAGACAAGATCTGGTCGAATGACAGCCTAATGCAAAGGAGGGGAAGAAAGTTTTCGGTTCTTTTCAAGTCAAATTTCCTTTATTTCTTCAACAATAAATCGAATCTTTTTTCAACATTCACAAAAACTGAACTCATAATACAAAAACCGACCGAAAAATAGAACGAACCTCGCATTTCTTTAGATTGCTGCAGAATAGCCTCTCTCTGATTCTTTAACCTGAGCAGTTCAAAGTATCGTTTTAACTGTTGCTGGTTTTTCTGGACCCGCTTCTGTCGAACATCTTCAGCAGTTTGAGCTGTTTTGGAGGTTTGACGGCGTTTTGGAGGTTCTGACATTTGTAAGTTAATATAACTGCAAATCAAGCCACCGATAGTAGTGATGTTAAAATATAACAAAATCGCAGGATTTCAAAGTAAAAGCACGACTTAAGTCAAGAATAATGCTCTGAGCTAAACCCGCAACTATTTAAAAAAATAGATTAAAAAAACCGCAACTAACCAACATGAACTCCAGTCAAGTTCTCAGTATCACTAGCAAACTGTTTGTGTTGTCTGGCAGATCCAGAAGTGTGCCGTAAGTCCTCGCTGTCAGTCAGAGCATACTGACGAGACCGGGACGGCTGGTGAGAGGTTGTAGGCTGCTGTTGGGGTGCTACCGGCCGCGTGTAATCTACAGAGGAGAACAGCTTATTGTAAAGAGAAATAGTTAATTCTGTTCTATGATCTAAATATCATCTTCCTCGTGAAGATGAGTATCTATAATTTCGCTACAAAACTATTTAAAGTATTAAAGCCACGTTTAGCGAGGAGATCAAGGGAATAGAGAATGTAAAATAACTCACTGTGAAGGGAGGGTTTGTAGCTGCCACCATCACTAGCGTACCCCGTACCTCGTCTCACGTGCGCCCTACCAGTGTCACTATGATAACCGGTAGGTAACCTGGGTTTCCTGGCTTCTTCCGTGTCACTGTAGTTCCGTCCTGGTGGTCGCTTGTTGTTGCAGAACTGAGGGGATTTCTCCTGAAAAAACGAACAACTCTAATTCAGATCACAATTTCAGAGGGGAATAGGCGAGTTGCAGAGGGCTGTTGAGAGTATAAATTACATTTTAAACGAAACTTTAGAATTACAGACAAACTAATTAACCTAATTGTTCCAGTTACTAATTACACATCTAATTACCTGTCCGTCACCCTTAGTTCGCTCAGGGAGGTAAGATTTGGGGGGTCCTTCTCCGTCACTAGCTAGTCCTGGTCTGTAGATCACTGTAATGTAATGGTATTATGAAGGAGTAATGTAATGGTATTAATAAACTAGTCCTGGTCTGTAGATCACTGTAATGTAATGGTATTAATAAACTGTAATGTAATGGTATTAATAAACTAGTCCTGGTCTGTAGATCACTGTAATGTTACCATGGTTACTACTAGTTACCATGGTTATGTAATGTAATGGTATTAATAAACTGTAATGTAATGGTATTAATAAACGTAAATTAAGCTTTTTCCATACATAACGATTGATTAAACTTCAAATAATAACTGAAACCCAATAAACATACCATAAATAAATAAACAATAATAATCAATTAAATTTTAACAAAATGAAGCAAACAATTACCAGTATCAGCAGATTCCTCTCCAGTGGAGGTAGCAGACGAATATTCCTTCTCCCGCTTCAGCCTCTGTAGTTCACTCCTCTTAGCTGCCGGCAGATGACGCATATAAAGTCTAGTAGCCAGGTTAAGAGTGATACCTATAGCTTGGTAATCTTTAGGACTGTGGGTTATGTGACCAACCGACACGATGTGGGTTTTACTCTGCATCAGATTGTGGCGGAGTTGGACGAACGTTTCGAAGAATTTGTTCCCCGTCGTTTGGGTTACGTCCTGGGAATATGTTAATGTTAATTGGTTAATTGGTTAATTATGTACTGAAAATTGATTGGTTGATTCTTATATCGTGTTATATTGGGTTGGAACCTCAGAAATCACCGCAGAGACACTTCCAGCATAGTTCTATTATTCAATTGTAAACATATTTTAAAAATTTGTTATTTAATTACCTGCAGCCACTGCCAACAAAGAACGTTGGAATTATCGTTCTTGCGAATAGGAGTGCCCACATCAATGAAAGTCAGCATACCAAAGTTATCCTTGTTCTTCTTTTTAGATTTAGACTTGGAGAACGTCATGTTTATTATTAGAGCCTGAAAATGTTCAAATCTTTAAAATAGAGAAATTTCTTGAAAAAGAGATGTAGGTTTAAGATTTCGATAGTAATTTATAAAAGCAATCGAATACCTAATTATTTAATAACTAACCACTAATTACTAATCACTAATTACTAATTACCTCGTCGTTAGGATGCTCCCGAGCAGGCAGAGTTAAAGTCAGTTTATCCAAATACTTTCCCAGATCCTCAGATTTAGAGATAGTTGCCGGGGAAACAAACTCACTCAGCGACTTCTGCTCGTCTAATCTAAGAGAGGTGACGTGAACAGTGTTAGGTCCACACTTGCTTCTGTCATCATCTCCCAGCTTGTTTAACCACGTGACAGCGGTCGGGACCAGTCCTAGACTTTGGGTGGAGTCACGTGATCCGATCAGAGAGAATTGGCGACCTGGGGAGGAGGGATTATAAACTGGCTTACTGTGAGTTGTTACAGATGGTTAAATCAAAGGAATACCAGAATGTGTTGGTAACTCAAACTTACTGTTATGGTAACTATAAGTATAATGGTAAATTACCGAGAGAGTTTTTGCCGAAGGTAACCACGACAACGGATCTGCCGTGTAGAATAGCAGGGAGAACATCAGACAACATAGAGGAACACACGTCTATCTGCTTACTTTGGGGACCTGTTAATTGAATGTTAATTAATTAGCTAATTAGGGGTGAAATGTTAATTAAGTTTTTGTGTGAAACGCAACAGCAACATCTCCAAGGAAGCTTGGAACGGGCTATTTTGTGGATATTTAGGCGAATGTTTTCCCAAATGCCCCAGAGTTGGAGAAATAAAGAATGCAAAAATAAATTGGGGATGAAAAGTAAATGATTAATGATTATTACCGTGAACGTAATCAAAGAAAAGAGTCTCATTAGCGATTAGAACAGTAGATTTTCCCTCATCTACTGACAATATAGACTCCTTGTTCTGCGGGTTTGGACTAATCCTCATACCTACTTTAACCTGACATGGAACTTGGTTAAATCATGGTCTCAAAAGAAACAAAATTTAAAACATTACTTGATAAAATGGGTAAAGCGGCTAAATAACACAGGTTGGTTGGTTTCAAGACCTGGAAAGATGGGTCGGGTAGCTTTAGAACACACACTACCCACCCCTGAAACACATAACCCGTCATAACATCACTTATATGTTTCTAAACCCACACTACTCACGTTGTACGCATAGTTGTCAGTAGCGCGGCTACCCTCGGTGTGATAGGCGCGCAGGAGCCCCTGCGGAGGAGGCGGCGCAAACAGCCTCATCAGCTCGGCGTACGTCAGCGGGCGTTCCTTCTTCCGCTTCCTGAACATCTGCGATGCCCTAAAGGAAGGAGGGGTTAGAAATTGATGGTAAACTGAAAGAGGTTGCTCTGTTGGGGAGAAGGGTTTAGAATATGGTTTTAAACTGTCAGAGGGCTGCTGCCGAAACTATGTGATTTTAATGAGAACGGAGCCTTTTAGTTAGGTCATTAAAGTTAAGTTCTCAGTTGTGTAATAGGTTGACGACCAATGCCCATATAAGGCAATGACCATATTAGGCAAAAGACAAATGACCATACAAGGTAATGACCATATTAGGCAAAAAGACAAAAATCGGTAAGGAGAGATAATGCAGTTTTTAGGGAAGGTTCATTGCAAGAGAACTGAGCGGAGGAGTTATGAAAGAAACAGGGTACACAAACTTAATAAGAGACCATGTCTACAAATTACTTCACATTACCATGGATATTTACTGTGCGACTCACACGATATACCTGTGATCAGGAGTAAGGGTGAACTACCAATTAACAAATTAATTCAATAAAATGAGTTAAATTTAAATGATTATTATCTAAAGAAATCTTACTTTCTGACGATCATAGGAGTGTTATACGATCTGGTATCACATCTTATCACTAGGTTATTAAAAACATCATACAACCCGAACACTAAAATAATCCGTACTACTGCACTGAAACCCGAAACCTTTTGAATATAATATCACATAAAATGCGAGGATCCCTAATCCAATGAGGCGGTGCTAAAAAATGTCACGTGACTACCATATATGGTCATGTGACTGGTTTGTAATGGTCCCCTGACCCTTGAAACAATTCGAATTGAGTGTCCTGGGACCTGGAGGCTTAATGTATAGGATCGTGTTTGGAGGGTTGCGATTGGTCCGATTAGGCAACACTCTGATCTTATTGGTTTGGATGAGAAATACTGTGTTCTGATTGGTCCAGGAGGAATACTGTGTTCTGATTGGTCCAGGAGATAAATATAATGACAGATAAAAAGGTGGATATATATGGATTAATATGTAAAAGGGGGTATGCTTAGCGAGCATGACGGGGGTGGACAGGATTCTGGTGGAACATAAGGTCACAGTGGAAATAACATCATTTATTTGCACATAATGGATTGATACGAGATGATACGAAATGGATTGATGCAGTTTTCAAAGTTAAACGAATTTATAATATAAAAGTTTTAGAGATCGTTACGAACGTCACAGAGACTCAGCTCAGAGGGCATTATTACTCATGTTGCTACGAGATTAACTAAATACCGCGAATAGACTAATTTATACGTTAAACTCTCTCCAGAACAAATAATAAATAATAAATAATAACAAAAATTAAACAAGACATATTGAATTTAGCACATAAACTCAGCGCAACGCTAAGTGAAATTATAAACAATATTTCCAGTATAAAAGCAACAAGCATCAGTATAAATAGCAACACTACGCGCTTCAAGAGTTAAATACCAAATACATTATGTTGTCATTTATAATGAATGCTATAGAGTAGTTTTAAAAAAAGGCTTTTTGTCCGCACACGTAGTCTTAGGAAATACAGTTTATAAAATTGACATAATATATAAGAGATACTGTGCAGGATATGGGAGATTTGACAGTAATAATGTGTGATGCGAGGGAATAATCTAGATGATTGAGACGGAAATGTGGAAATAGTTTGGCACTACTGATTACAGATATCTATTTACAGATTACTACCAGGCGGCGAGAGAGAAAGGATTATAATCCTATAATGTTATAATCACAATGTTTAATCTTGGACTCAACGACTAGAGTAACTATTGAAACAAAGTAAAATATTGTTACAGATATCAAAAGAAATGCCGATAAGTATGCCGATAAAGGGGTCAGTAAAAGTACTGATATTTTAACAGTGTTTACACACTCATTGTACTTCCTAGACTTAGCGAAACTTAATCATTAACCTCAAACGTTGAGAAGAGATAGTATCCAAGTCTCTATACCTAGCTGCAGTAATATGGGTAGCTATGATTCTTATAAGCGACATTTAGGGAAATGAAGTGAAACTATAGTGTTATTAATCGTGAACTCTATAAAACATATGGACAAACATTCTGACAAATTGTGCGAGTATTCTGCGAATTCTACACAGATTTTACACGGCTGCTAACAATAAGATATTGGACTACTAGTACTACTGAGACTACATTTAGCAAAGAGTAAAGGGGCCGTTTGACTACCTTTCCGAAAGGGACTTTGGGGCGGTTTGGCAAAAGCGAAAAGGAACAAAGGATTCTAATATTAAGTTCGCAGAAGCAGTCCTCGAGCCGTTTATAGTCTATGGGGACTTTAAACCGGCAAAATAGTAGTGAAGTGAAGAAAACAAGGCATTACATCAGACTCAGAGTTTATCAGGTCTTACACTAATTACGCGTGTCAACATGTATAGACCAGACACGTGTTGAAGAGAAAAAGTAAGGAGAAATATAAGGAGAAAAAGTAAGGAGAAATATAAGGAGATACATGAACACTGAACAGAAGGAGATATAATCGCCTGATCTATATTTATAGACACCAAGTTTTGTACACCTACACGGGGATTACAGTGATCAGGTAGCCGCGTATCAACTGTATTTTCTTGGTGATCAGACGGGAAGGCAGGGTGAAATGTGATCAAGATATCAGAACTGTCAGATATTATTAATGTTTTCTGGTGCCCGATACTAAACGAGTATATTAATAGATTGATGTGAAGATATGTCTGTATTCTGTACCGTAATATGATGTCAGTTTTGTAGAAATAAACTAAAAGAGGGCAATATATATGTGTTGTAGTAGAGGCACGTAAAGCAAAGGTAGGGTGAGGGGTTATCACAGACGTGAGGTAATATCAGAGAGATAGTATCTCTCTTCTGATTGTGTTAATTGCAAAAGTACTCAGATGCTGCAATCAGAGCCTCTATTACAGGTGCGTGACATTAAAATGACGTGACCCAAACTTCAAAGACGTAGCAACACCACTAGGCTATAGGAGTGTGGAACAAGCTGACCAAAGCAGGGGCCGGGCACACGGCTGAAATACAGGGGCTCACAATAAAGGAGTTTTTGTTGCCCAGCAATATAGTCACGTGTTATGTCACGTGACACACTGCGCACCAATCACTATTCTTTAAATTCGACATGATCACGCGAGCTACTTATCTCTATTAATGGCGAGGAATGTGCAAATGAAGTAATATTTATGGATTATGGCGACAGTAAGATGAGCTGGTTGCACGTGCGCGCGTTTCCCAGGGAAATACTAATAAGCTTGCAAATGTGGAATATGCAAGCGTTATACATAAGGTGGAATGTTGAGATAACGTCACGAGATAATGATAACGGAGTATCCGAATGAAATATAGCTTAGAGTAGAAAGAACTAGTAAAATGACAGAGTCACAGCACACTCGTATTCTGTACAGTCAATAACATGTCACCAAATTAGTAGTTAGTACTACGCCTGTACACCCAGATATATAATATTTAATAGGTGGAGGAGAAAACACTGCAGTCAAATTGGGATGACAACACCAAGACGGCATACACCATACTGGTAACTAGTTGTGTTGTACTGGTAAACAATAGGAGTGTTATACTTGTAACTAGTGACACTGTTAACTAATTCCAGTGGCGAGGGAGTGCATCTGTCGTTAAATTAACAGTAGTTCTAGACAACATGTTTCAACACGTCATCAGGGAAATATTAATAACACGTTATCAGGGAGCTTACTTTTACTCGTGTTTGTAGGTAGTAATTTCTAGTTAGTAATTTCTAGTTACAGTTACTGTTTTCGTGTTTTTATAACTGTTATCAAAACGTTCCAATTTCTAATGAACTTAAGAGTTGTGACTCATCTCTAATGAACTTGCTGTGTACAAAATTGGAGAAAGTATTTGAATAGCAGACGGTCACAAATATCTCGACTTTCTTTTGCGAAGTTACTATCGAAAAATGTTTGCACGTGCAAAGGCGCTGCTCGTAATATTCCGAAAATCTAATTACTTTAAGGCTTGATTGATCATCCATAAAAATCGAATAATAAAAACAGGAAATAAAAGACGGAAATCAAGACAAAACGGAAAGAATAAGGACTAATTAATACAGAAGAAAGTAGAGCGTTTATAGTGAAACACATCACCAAGTAAAGTATAACAGAGGGAGTGGAGAGAAAGTTTAAAACACTACAAGTGTAATTGGTAATATATTTTAAACACTGAACTGTATATATACATAACATATTCAACTACTATTTATGTACGTGACACAATGACTGATAAAACAGTTAAAATTCGCTACAAACTCACTCAATATTTCCCGCTATCGGGCAACGAATGAGTGTTAAACTTCCAATCAAATAGTTATTTTAATATTAAAAGCTCGCAACATATACATCATACATGTTACATTTATCTACATATTACAATTTATATAGCACACTGATAAAATGAACATTGGATAACCTAGAAGTCAGAACACTGTACACACCAGACTAACACACAGATATCCCAGAAATATGAAACTCAGGAGAGGATAACAACGCCCTGTTAATTACATTAGATGCGCTTTTTGGGCGCCTCGGTAAAAATTCAGATTAAAGAGTGACAAATCATGGCTGAGAAGGGAACAAGGGGCGGGGGATATTCAAAAGTAATTAGTTTTTCAGATTGAGCAACTCTACAAACTCCAGATAGCATACAGTCTAAATTCTAGTTAACTTTAGATTAAAAGTGACAAATCAGCACAGAGAAATGGGGGTAACCATCTCAAAACGAGGGACGAGTAAACTCAAAGTAATATTTAAAGATAATGAACATTTCAGGCTGAGATAATGAACATTTCAGGCTGAGATAATGAACATTTCAGGATGAGATAATGAACATTTCAGGTTGAGATAATGAACATTTCAGGCTGAGATAATGAACATTTTAGGTTGAGAGCAACCTTACAAACGCCAGCTAATCCAGTCTGAAGTGCAGTGCTACAATACTAAAACAGAACTCTAGTGCTACACAGAAGATGTCTGAGTACTGTGATAAGCTAGTAGTCAGTCTACACTGAGGAAGTCCATTAGACGTGAGCACTTGGAATTACAGGTGTACATTGTTATACATGTGGAATATTCTAGATTAAATATTGAATTAAACACAATCGCAATGTAAGCCTTTAGAGACCAATATTAGTAACTAACTTTACTACTTACATTATTATACACATATATTACATTAGTATAGTAGTTTATATTATAATAGTTATATATAATAGCAGTTATATTATATAAGTATATACTAGTTACATGGCTAATATAATGGCTAATATAATTAATTGTGATGTCCACCTGACAACTGCACTAAACTAAAACACGACTCACAAGGCAGCGAGACTGTTGTTTATTGGCCGTGTAAGCGAGTAGTATTGAGCAACATTAAACATAAAGCTGTGTAGTTCATAGTGAGTAGTAGTGAGCAACATTAAACATAAAGCTGTGTAGTTCATAGCTAGACAAATAGTCTAGATATTCTACAGAAGTACAGGTCATGTTTAGTCAATGATCTAGTGTTTAATCTAGTCACAATTACAATTTACAGGATGTGTACACTGTGCAACTACAAAGTGTGAAGGGACATGACAATACAATGTTAACAATATAACAAGACTGCGAAACATAAGAATGTGAAATAATAATAATAATTAAGGAATAAGAAGGTGTAAAAATACAGGAGGGAGTAGTGTACGGGGGCCCGGAGAATGAATAATAAAATGTAGCCATATAACGGAACATTATGTAATGAACAGCCGTTATTCCGATGCGGCTAAACTTTCAACAACTGACCATTCTTAGAGCGTTATAACAGTCACGTGGGGCTCGCTGGCCAATCACGGGGCTGCATTCCAACATCTGGAGTGCAATCAATTAATGAATGTGCTAGTGGGACACTGCCTATGTCACGAGTATTCACGGATATCAAGACTTTATGTTACACTCGCGACTAGCAATGGCAAGCATAGATAAATTACATAATAATATTGGAATGAACGGGGGGCACTTTAGTCTACAATCTTACAATAAGATACAGTCTGCAATAAATAGGGGAGGGTGTAATGTGGAACGTGAGGAATGGGACAGGAATGCGTGTTTTATGACATCATGATTATTGTAACTCATTGGTCTCTCTTATCGTACTACTCGCCTCCTTCTGTATCTGACCACAGCGGACTCCAGCATCGGGGAGCGAGGAGTTCTTGTCTAATCAGAGGGGAGGATTTATGGTGTTGTCCAATGAGAGGGGAGGATTTATGGTGTCGTCCAATCAGAAACGATTAATTGTGTCAGGTGATGATTAACAACCAGAGATGTGAATCCTGGATTGAGTCCAGTCTTTGATCTCGTGATTGAGAACTTCACTAAACGTTTCACACAAACAGCGTTTACGAAACCGAACTATAAAAACTTGTAAACTTCAAAACAACTTACAAGAGTTGCTTCTCATACAATCTAACAATCAGAGTAAAGTAAGGGAGTTGTCCGCTCCAGGATGTTACAACTAATTACTCAGTTAGGATACAAGCTAATTAGTAGCCTGTTCTATGGGAATATTTAGACTAACTTGAAAATTAGAATTCTTAGCACCAAAATAGTTCACTTTTGAGATGACTGGATAATGGGGAAAATAGTCGTTGGTAAATTAAAATAGATGTGAATTAAGCATTATTAAGTTACTGTTGTAACCAAAGTAAATACGCACAACCCAATGGAACTTTAGCAACTAGCTGGTTACTGATTAACATCACCAAATAGTAACCAGCTAGTAACTATAGTAACCAACTGTAATTAAAATCTTAAACTTACCTCCTAGCGAGACTCATCACGACCCTTCAACAAAACAGTCTAACACACTAAACGATCTTAAACCTAAGACGAGAGAAACGTGTCCCGCGTAACTAAGAGTAATAGTAACAGATCACAGCATCACAGCGTATAACAAGACACAAGACTTGTGTATAACGTAATATGAGAGTGAGAGGCCACCTGGGGAGGAGGATGAGGGGGGGGGGGGGGCTACAATAATAATAGGGAGGGGGGGGGGGGGGGGGGGGCTACAATAATAGTACCCGGGGTCCCGGGGCAGGTGCTACACTGATTATATCAGGATTATGGTAACAATAACAAGGGGGGATGTTTAGTGACGGTGTTATAACTAGGGGGTTGTTAGGTGTGGGGAGGCAGTGATGCAGGAGTCATTGTACGAGTCTGGCAGGACTATTCATACAGGCTCTCGATTAGAGGTCGACCGCGGGTGATGCAGGGGAGATTGCAATATTTGGAGCCCTTATCGGCCCTAATATAATTTGGACGGACCTAATTATCAGTGTATGGATAATGCAATTTGGATAGACCCTCGATTGTAGGACGGACAACTGGAACTAAGCAGGTACTTTCTTTCTTTAATCTAATATGGAGCCGAAAACGTTTAACAATTTATTTGAGTATGCTTAGAGAATGGTTATTTTTAAACTGTTGAAACACCAAATACACTAAATCATGACAAGAAATAGTCAGTGAAACGAGAATTAAACAATGACTTACCATGCTAGAGGATGTTCAAGATGCATGTACGTTCAACTATTCTAATAAAAAGGTAAAAACAATGAGGAGAGACGCTCAGCAGCTCACTACTACAAACACTACAATCACCGGACCAAGGTGCAGGACTCTGGCGGGTGTTTCAAATATGTGTCCAGTATGGTGTTACCATGTAGGAAGCAATCACATCAGATTGCTTGAGTGTCCCGCGGTTAATCTAAGGAGATGTTAGAGCCGTGATTGGACCATTTACCTCAAGGTGGCAGCTGATTGGAGGACATGCAGGCTGATCTGCGCGCTGATTGGTTGACAGAACTGATGACGTCATACCACGTGACGCACAACTATTGGTCGTACTGATGACGTCATACCACGTGACGCGCAACTATTGGTCGAACTGATGACGTCATACCACGTGACGCGCAACTATTGGTCGGTGAGATGCAGGGAGCTAGCTCATGATTGGTCCCGTGGCACATCACGTCGTGTAATAATCTGTTGATATGCAGTGCCGAGGGGCTGTTTTTCGGGAAGCTTTGCGGTCCAAGTAATATTCAGCATGTAATTGAATAATGCACAGGTCAGCCGGATTTTATTACAGCTAGTAGAATGGAAATTAATCTTTACGGACTGATTACACTCAACTTAACAGCATCAAAGAACTTTAATTATGCCGAAAACAGGACATCAAATCTAAATTCCAGGGCTGATATATTCTTCAAATGTGAAGAAAATTCACAGCTAACTTAGTTATTTGCTAAGTTAACTTAACTAACATTTAACAGAACATTTAAAAAGTTATAACTAACAAAGAAACTAACTTGGCAAAGAAAGATCCGTCCTTCTGAGGGGTTGCTTTAGGATCAGGAGTAGAGCTAGGAGTGGAGGGAGTTGACTTGCTGTCCTTCTTCCGCTTTAATCTGGAGGAGAACCTGGAGCTCTCTGTTCTTTTGGGAGGGATTGGGGCTAGGTCTGTGATAGTTCTGAGGGGAGATGGAGTTGTTAACCTCGGGTTTATCAACAATCAGATCGAATATACAATATTATAATATGAACTTATCATCCCCTAAAAACAGTTTTAATCTTATAAACCAACCTGTTAGGAATATGAAATTTACAATATAGATAAAATGACCTGTTAGGAATATAAAAGTTATAACATAAATAAACCAACCTGTTAGGAATATCAGCGGGTGGTACAGGAGTTACGCTGGGTTCAGGACCATGCCACGTGTCATTACCAGACATGTCGGAGGGAGCTGACACTGTGTTCTGCAGCTTGTAGATCTGGTCTGTGTGCCCGTTCATTATTGGGGGTCCACCTGGGGAGGAGGGGGTGTTAGAGGGGTGTTACTAGGGCCAGGGGTGTTACTAGGGGTGTTACTAGGGTGTTACTAGGGTGTTACTAAGGGTGTTACTAGGGTGTTACTAGCGTGTTACTATGGAGATGAGGTTTTGAAGGGTACTGAGCTGGTTTTTATATCCGGCTACAGACGAGTTGACTGTTGAACACATTTACATAAAAATAGAATAATATTAAAGTATCGATATGTAATACTGACCATCGCTCAATTATGTTGAGAACTGTTGATGTGTGTTTTGTGGTTTATCGTAAAGTATTAGATTTTAAATAAAGTAATAAGATCATTCAGAAAAGGTCCAGAGGTAGCATGAGTTAAGATCTAAATATACGATCATTCAAGTTTTCAAGAAAGAGTCGTAATTCTAGCACAATACTAGGACAAACTTTTGTTCTGCAGTATAGATTTGATTTCGTAAGAAAGAAAAATAAATGCATCAACATTCATTAGACGTGAAATAACGAAGGGTAAATTATATGGGAAAGACATTTCCTCGGAAAAATTAAAGTTGAATACGAAAAGATTTCAGTAAAAGTAGTGGTCATAATGTCTCAAATAACGACGGTAACCTAAACACCCCTCCCACTATACTCCATCACCTGTATTACAATCAGTACAATTTGAGCTTATATGGACAGTATTCGTCGTAAGTGTGTCAGGAGGTTACTGGGGAGCGTTACTAGGGGGTGTTACTAGGGTTTTACTATGGTGTTACTACCTATCAGGAGGTTAGAAACCAGCTCAGGATCGTTGGGATCACTTAGTGGCGGGTAGCGGTTTGTCTGTGTGTTGATTCGTCTGTTTGTTTGTCGGTATTTCCGTAAGTCTGTGTGTCTGTTTGTTGTGATGTTTGTTTGAATTTCTGTCTGTTTGTCAGTTGTATAAGTGTGTTGGTCTGTTGTTAGAGTGTTTGTCAGTCTGTCGTACGTGTGGTACACAGTCATTGTATCTGTAATTGTAGGTAATATTATGAATAATATAGACTGTAGGTAGAGTTATATGTATAACGGAGAAAAGATTTTTCTTCTTATCCGTTCTGATAGAATAACCTTGGCATCAAACCATGCAAAAAACACGTCCATATTTGTATATTTGTACTAGATCTCATTGTGTGTAACTTCTAAGACAGCATATCATATAACTGCAAGACGTGTAGTGTACAACTATAGTGTTCAAACTTCAAACAAGGTTCACATTCACAAAACGTAAACAAAAGCAGCATCACCAAAGTAAAGGTACCAGAGTAAAGGTACCAGAGTAGGTACGAATACCCGACCATCATACAACGCATTCCACCCAAAACAGTCAAACCCCGATCTCATCAAAAGACAGCTCACTTTCGGTAATTTATAGGGACAGTGCAGTGTTAAGGAGTATACTACCGAAAATGCTATATTTTATGATGCATCATACAATCTAGCGTCAACGCTCACTAGATCGGGATTTGACCGTGTAGTTCAGCATTGACAATACAACCCAACACCCAAGCACGCATCATCATCACCATGGTTACGCATCATCACCACATTCCCCCAAATCACCTGCTAACATGAACTCGTCCACGAACTCATACTCCCCCTCGAGAGGCCCAGGGAAGGAGGCCCCCCAGTCCCCCACCCCCGGCAGGGAGTTGGTTCTGGGGCGGGGCTGCTGCTCCACCAGTAATTGGGACGCGTGGTGGAATGACCGGGACGGTTGTAGTCGGGGTCGGGGAGGTTTTACCTGGTCTGTGTAGAATAGCTCAGTTTAACTGTGTTTAACTCAGTTTAACTGTGTTTAACTTTTTAAAGTTTTAACGGTTTGAGTACTCATGGCTCAACGAAGTGCCAGGCTTTTTATTTTTAGGTCGTGAAATTTCCGGTGAAGGTCTAACGAAGATACTACTAAGTCATCAGGATCGAGTAGCCTGTTTACTTCTAAACTTCTAAACTTCTGAACTTAACTTCATCTAACTAAAAATAAAATGTAACTAAAATGTAACTAACCGTTGTTAACGTGGTTGTTAGAGTTGGGTGCAGTATTGTAGCGTGTGGGCAGGTTAGCATACGCGTGCTCGCTCTTCTGGGTCCCGTTGTTACCATGACTACCGTTACCATGACTACTGTTACCAAGAACCCCGTTACTAGGAGGTTGTGGCTGTGGTGTGTGTTTAACCCCACTGTTGTAAGCTTTACCCGCTGGTTTCTGAGGAGGAGGTCCGAATGAAGCCAGCTCCACGTAATTAGTCTTGAGGTTCTCGGTGGACTTGTGGAGGTTGGAGATCTTGTCTACTGAGCGGTGGTTACGTTTCTTGTGGTCCGTGCTGGAGGGTCCGAGGACTGAGTCACTGCGGTAACCACTCGTCGCTCTCTGGGACTTGACACTCTGAAAATAATGGGGTGTTAGTTGGGCCGGTAGCACAATATAAGTTTGATAATCTAACCTTTATGTGTACTCCGTTTCTCCCCCCCCCCTCCCCCTTGGTATGTATTCAAAAGTTTTTAGAGTGTCCCGGACACAACTTTTGAATTAATTTAATAAATATTAATCAGGAGAGCAAGGTAATAAGGTATCAAGGTAGTAAGGTAGCGAGGAACCTTGTCGACCCAGATCTCAATCTCCCTATCACCCAGGTCCTGGGTACTAAAACTTTTAGCCCTGTTTCTTTGCATCCTCATCTTATTACTATCAACAACTTGAATTAACAACTACAACCAAATTCAAACGATGGACCTGCATCTAATAATAAGAATACCACTAAAATATCCAAAATAGGGTAAAACAAGAAGAAGAGGCGTCATTTACACAATGGCTGTTTCTACAGTCGGACACCACTAACAGTGACAGTCCCTTCTAAACCAATCCCGGTCGCCATAACAACACACGTGGGCGCTCCCAACCAACCAGGGCACGTCTAGCAACCCGCGTGGGATGTAGAGAGTGGTCGAGAGGTTGTTGCTGACGTTTTCATTTCCTCATACAACCCGGGCTAATAAATGAGAGCTAGCTGCCAGACTTGGTAGTTACTACTACATCTGGGGGACACCAATCAGCCAATGCCAGGCCAGATACGGGACAACTAGCCAATCATAGGCCAGACAAGGGGGTGATCAGATAGGAGGAGGAGTTATCCACCAATTAGAGAAGAAGTAAGGGTTTTTAATAACCCGAAACAGGGGCGCTAATGGACCAGCTGGCAAGATATTAGGTGCAGGATCCTATCAATAGTAGTAGTAGTACAGTGGGGTGACATATGTTTTCGTCACTTCTGATAATGACAATACAAACAGCGTTAAACTAACAATTTTCATTGAACCATAGCTCCGCTTCCGGACCACCGATTTACAAAATTCAAAAATGGGTGTTTAGAGAAAATTCTGAACTTTTCTCGGACAGTAGAAATTAAGTTCATTCGTGCTTCAGAAGAGACTGGCAGGGCCATAAATAAGGGGTTTGATCACGATAATGATACTATTTATGAAGGAGCACATGTTTTAATAGCAAGCGACGAACTTTTCTCTACTTCAATATTACCATGAAGTTTGATACGGAATATCTTTGTACTGCATCGTTCGATTTCGATAAAATTGATAAGGTAACAAGACCAAATGTTTCTCAGCTGATTAAAATAAATACTGTTAGAGTTGTTAATCTTCAGCCAGAGATATCATAAGTTTACCATGCTAAGTTGGATATTGTGAACACTTCTCTATTCCTCAATTTTTAGTGGTGTCATAGATATTACATCGCCACAAAATTTACTACAGATACGCTAAAGGGTCTGGGCCTTGTACTAGACAAATTCTCCAGACTCGTGATTACACTCACTGCTAACAATATCACGTGACGTGCACGCAAACTCGCGCGCTAAAATGCGCGCATTCAGAAGTGACGAAAACATATGTCACCCCACTGTAGCTATCATTAAACTGTGGTAATAACGGTATCTGAGTATATAATAAGACTAGATATAACATACGAGGGATAGCAGCCCAGCTGTAAGCTTCTACGAAACTGAAGTTACGATATCAAGAGAAACGCCACTTTAGGACTACATTACTTCAGCTATATATCTTATCAAATTTATGCTCTTTAACAAAGCCCCTACTACAGCGCTGTACACAATGGTACAATTTTTAAGTAACACCTTGTAGGATTTACAACTACACGTTGAATATGGTACTTTCACTGGTAAAAACGGTTTCTTAGCAGCCACACCCCACATCTTCCGTTATGGAGTATATTTTACATAATTTAGCATAATTTGAGGTACTATGACAAAGCATCCTGGTTTTTATTGAGTAGTATTTTCTAGATCTAGTAAGAATTACACACTGGTTAGTGGATCTACCGTCGAAAACTATCAGTGCGGAGATTGAAGATGTTGATGAACAGGCCCAGGTGACGACTTTAAAAGTTTATCTGGACCGGCAAAACCACGTACGTTCACATATTCTCACGATCACCCCGTAACCATGACAACGTTAGGGCACCACCACCAATCAAAACATCTGTTCAAATGACACTTCCGCTTAGGTGTCAGGGCTCTCTCGGAAGCGAGATAATGGTACAGACAATAGTTTTTACTGTGGAACTAGCCCCTGGAAGTGGAGCTAGACCCTGAAATCCAGCAGCTTATCAGGCAGATCTAGCTGTCTTGCATTTCCTAGCTTTGTATTTAGTGGGCTTACAATCAGCTCCATAATACAATTACTGTAGACTTTTACTGTTGGTATTTGAGCTAGCCTTTATGGATCTCTGAGCTCGATGATAATACCAAACGTCAATAAGGATCCGATCCTATTCCAAGAATATGTTCTAAACCATAGAATACGAAGAAGCTACCTCCTAGAATCTAGAGTAGCAGCTATATGCTATTAACCAACTCAGCTGTAAGCCTATTCTCGTATTGCTTATATAAGTGTAGCCCAGTCTACGATAGCAGCTTTAAGTGTAGCTCAGCCTGCACCGTCACCTATAAAAGGTGTTAAAAGCGTGCACTAGCAGCCACTAGCTGCTGACACGGTGCAGAATTTGCTGGTAGACACTACTGGTGTAAATTGTAATTATTTGTGTCGATGACGACTGTACTATATTCGCATGAGAGTGAAATGTTACTGCAAGCCGACATAAATACACCCAGGCAAACCAAGCTATCTGCAAATCATGCAACCCCTCCATTTTTCAAAAAATCATGCTCGAAAAGAACCATCTTAACCCCTCCTTCCGGCTATCGTTAACCCCAAAACCCCATAATTAAACCTCCAGGTAAACCCACTAATTAAACCCCTTGTGCCCCCTAATTAAACCTCCAGGTAAACCCACTAATTAAACCCCTTGTACCCCCTAATTAAACCTCCAGGTAAACCCATTAATTAAACCCCTTGTACCCCCTAATTAAACCTCCAGGTAAACCCACTAATTAAAGTACACACGAAGTAAACCCCTTGTGCCCCCTAAACCCCCTCACCTTGAGAGCGTTAGTGAGTCTAGTCTCGTTCTCCCGTACAATGTTGACAGCCCCCACTCTCAGCTGTTGTTCTGTAGTCTCACAGTCCCCACAGTGGCCTGTACCGTTGGTTCCTGAGACCCACTCTGGGGAAGTCTGGGGTGGGAGGGCTAGTTTGTCTTGTACTCGACCCTTGTAGAAACCAGCCTGAAATAGTTAGGGTTAAGAATAGAAATGGGTTAGAGGGCTGAAATGGGCGTGTCATGATTACATTTCATTATGTTATCGCGTAAAACTTATAGTTGGTTTGATTTGTATGTTGATTTGTTAGCGTTGGACTTAGATTATCATATTTGCTAAGTATCAGGAAAATTTGTAGCAATAGTCATCAGACCTCTAGGACACAGATAGTTTAGCGGGGAGACAGACAGGGAATCCCTGAATATAAAACCCGCAACTATACTCATTGCTTGGAATCTTAGGAATTTACAACTGATTGTAAGTGGTCTAGACCCCGAAATTGTGGAGAAGATAGACTCCGTTATCAGTATCTTTCGTCCCGAAACTCAGTTACATTTAGTGGAATAAAACCAATTAGGTGATTAGGGGTGATTACCGGAATTACTATATTAAATTTGAAGGAGGAGTTGTTACATTGTAGAGAGTCTGATTTTACACTGGTCACTGAGAGGAGATATTATTGGGAGAGATACTGACTTTACAAACTTGTACTTTTATCCCATATGCAGGCCACAAGGAGTTGTGAGATCAGTTCCATCTCAAGAAAATATTAAATATTCCATAGTTCATACGTTAAGTTTGCCAGCATTCTCTTGAATTAAAATGTAGATTGGACAGTAGCCCAAGCCCCCCCCCCCCCTCGCCCCTCCAACATAGCAGCAGGGTGCAATATCCCCCACATAGAGTGAAAAAGTTAGCACCTGCACACCTGACGCTTAATTAGAGCGTGGGAAAGTGGGTGAGAGAGGTAATGTATCCTGGTATAATTGACAGATTCTGAATCTTAGCACCTCTTTAATTCGGATAAATGGTGATTATCGAGCTGCTATAATTTCAATTCGGATGGGAATTGTGTACTTGAGTGAAAGTGTGATGATTCGTGGGAAAATTAGTTTGAATTAGGCGACCTAGTGCCTAGTGGTGGTCGGTGGATCGTAACAAGACACATTATCAACTTCAGCTAAATTAAGTTCAATTATTTTATTCGCTAGAACTCTCCTTGTGTAACTGCCCTAAACTATACATTACCTGATAAAAACCCAGACGATCTACAGATAATGAACGATACTGGAACATGGGCATGACTTCACGATATCCAGGATTGGTAGGATCGGCAGGATCTCGATTATGTCATCAGTTAACTGAACAACAGACGATCAATATTCACTATTCAGTACAAAGAAAGGAAACCAAGTGGAAATAATGTGAAACTGAAGATAGAATCACACTTCCATTAAAATAATTAAAATAGAACCGATATGAAGATGTGTGGGAGTGACAACAACAAAGCAATAAAAAGTAGCAAGCAGAACTTCTTCCGCAATAACACTACAGCACAACCAAGAGCTATGAACTCCATGATTTATCTCTAAAATAAAGCAACTAATAAAAGCTCAAGCTTGACGGTGGGGGCGGTCGGTGGTTCAGTCACAATACGCAATTACCAATTCTTAAGTTACTCAAGCAAGGATTGAATTGTTAACAAATAAACAACCTCGCAATATTTTACAGTAACAAGATTTACAAGGTGATAAGATCAGTATCTAGTCACGTACTGAACAATAGCCTAGATTTACAGAAGCAAGCTGGCTTGATCAACATGGTAGTGTAACTAGTATCTGTTCTCAAACGTAACATGAAGTGGAGATGACAGAGATTATCATTGTAATGAGTAAGCAATACAAAAGAAGGGATCCAGAGGACAGCAATATTGCAGTATGAACCTAGAGGGTGAACGATTGAAAAGAGTACAATAATTGCTTAACTATCAGCTTAAGTCATGAATAATGCATGGTAATATTGCAAAGATTCCACTCCTATAGCTAATGGATGGGTAGTAGAGATTGTAACTCTCCCGTACTATGCAGAACAATGCAGTGCAAAGCAGAGTAAATCAGAGCTACCTTGTACCAAGAACAGTGATCTCTAACAAAACATAAGGAACATATTGATTATTGATAATAGCTCTTAGAACAAGCTGAGCATGAGTCTTTCTATAAGATAGTGAACACCAGTCTTCTGGTTAAATAGTGAACATCAGTATTCTGGTTAGATTGAAAACGAGATTTTAGAGTTTTATAAACCATGGAATAAACCTCGTAAGGTTTGGTAATTGCCATTAGAGTTGAAAAGTTGAAAAAAAAGCACGCTTTTCTTGAACGAGATGTTAGACAGATGTTCCACTGAAAGAAAGTAAAACAAGGGTAAAGAAATGAGCGGTCTTTGAGAATCTGCATAATGGAAAATACTTTATAACCTTGTGTATGTGGTTATAAAAGTTCAAAGAAACTGCAACTTTTGCTGTAAAAGCTAAGCTCTGGTAGTAAAACTACAGAGTTAGACCAAGTGACCCTGTATAAAGTCAACCGACAGACGAAAGTAAGAGTCTTAAACCGCGTACCAGAATGCAGAGTGGTGCCAATAGTATCCAACAAGCATTAGTGAGGCCAATTAACCCCTTTAGAGTCTATCACCTGCAATCGGATAGTCACGTGCCAGTCATGGGCCAATCAGAGAGCGGTATTCGGGTCACGTGATGTGATAAGAACCAATCAGAGGCGTGGAGATATATCTGTGATGGCTCATTATAAGGAAATCTCGAATCACCACCCTTATGTCTTAATGATGATTGTGCAGAAATGAGACAGGAGATATAAGGTCATGACTGCTTGTGGAAACTCGAGATATATGAGGAATATGTCGGATTTTTTGCACGAAACTTTCAAGCCCAATCATCAGATCTAACAAAAATGTACGGATGATAATGGAATAACGAAAAAGAGTCGAGTCTAGAAGAATGCTACGTAGACACTAGACACACTCAGACTACCTTTACTCTTATATTTCAACAAACTTTACCCAGATCTGAAGTGGTTTATAATAACATCCTAAAGATCTGATAAGTCTAAAACTAAAATCCGGTAGATAAAACTTTTACGGCGAATAACTAAAAAACCTGACAATAACCTAACAAACAGAAGCAAAACCTCTCCCACAACCATCAGAGTACTGCAAGTAAGCAGTGCATGTATCTCCCATGAAGAGGAGGTGAAGAAGGAGGAAGTGGATCTGCAGTCTGCACCTCTCGTGTATTGACGGTTACCACACCTAGTTACCACGGTTACCACACCTTGTCTAGAAGCGGCAGTTATCCTTATTCGGGAGGGAGTATTGCCTTATATGGGTTGTAATTAGGCGGAAGTACAGACGTGCAGGTGCATGCAGTTTACTATGTACTTCCAATGAGGAAGAAGGTGTTGACCTTACTTGCTAATCCCAGTGTAATTATCATAAAGGGGGGAATGCAACGTCAATTAATGTCAATTAATGTCAATTAATGTCAATTAATGTCAATTAATGTCAATTAATGTCAATGTCAGTTTTGCAAAATTTTGGAATACTGACATTAATTGACACGATATTTTTCGACCAGAGATTATGTAGTTCTACCATATTTTTAGCACTTTAGAACGTTTATATCATCAATTTATTCACTACTATCACATGGAAATGTGAAATGTGAAAAAATTCAGATCATTAAACAATAAAACTAAAATAATACGGTTTCCCGAAATTTAATTTTCTTAAATGGGCGTGGCCATCCAAGGGCGTGGTTCTCAACATCATCAGAACTTAAAACCCACATTAAACGAAATGCCTTCATGACATTTATATTTGAATAACGAATCTTAAACAGCTAACATTACTTCTTCATACTAAAAAAGCCGATTCTAGATATTTTACCTGTATAAGAAACCAATAAAATATGGGCGTGGCCGGTGGGGACCGAAGATGGAAGAGTTGGAAGCTGAAATTTTTTTTGGTGGTCTTTGAACCTAAGGATCAACAGATAATAACATACTCATAATTATTCAAGGACATTTTGTTTTTTTGAACCGGTCTAACTTACATAGACGTGAATATCTTGAATATTTATCGAATAATGATAATCTCAAATTTCAAGACAAATTAATGTCAATTAATGTCAATTAATGTCAATTAATGTCAATTAATGTCAATTAATGTCAATTAATGTCAATTAATGTCAATGTCAGTTTGGGGGTTTTATGGAATACTGACATTAATTGACGTTGCATCACCCCCATCATAAATTTGGTAAATGTTAAATCCAACGGATTTTAGAAATTATGTCTTTCAAATCACGTGACCATAACAAAAAAAAACTTTTACGCTTATTGTAGTTACTTCACGTATGGTTAACAGTTATGGTCGTGGTAATCACAAAGGATATTATCAGGTTTTAAAATATATGGTATCACGGAAATGACCAGATGTATATTATAGTAGTGTTGAAGGTCTGGCGGGAATGTTGCTCCACTGTTATACAGCTCACTTCCTGTAGGACAACTGGGCCATCTCTAGGAGACTTGGCACTTTGCCAGGGATTGTTTGGGGATTAGACATTTTGTCAGGTATTGTTAGGTACACTGTGAAACATTTTCACATTTTGGAAATGATGGAAAGTAAGCCAAACACTGGAAAGTGGAATACAAACTGTCAGTTCACAAAGAAGGGAGCTTACAAACTAAACAGGCACTGACAAAATGTTACTAAAATCAGAAGGGAAAGCATGGACAGACTGTTGAGGTAGTGACTTAGTGAAGGGTCAAGTAACCTCCTAGCTAAGTGTGGAGATTGTTCGTGTTAAAAGACCGTACAAAGGGAGCTGCCAACTCATCAGTAAAACATGACGGGTCAGTCAAACCTACTGGAGAACTCTGAATTCAAAACTGAGGCAAGCTCCTGATTATTATGTTCTTAAGCAGAAATTTAAACCGCTACCAGACAAAAATCGGCGTCGGACCGACTTTAGGAGACAAGAAAACCAGGCTAACAATATGTGAAATCAAATAACTCCCAAATCGACGATAGCCAGATGGCAGATGCGTTTAAAAGTTTAAAATACGTTTAAAAGTTTAAAATACATTTAAAAATCGCTGAAGACAGAAAACAACTAAAGCAGCTATAGACACCGTTTTAAACAAACGCTGAGAGATTTTCTAAATTTCACACCAATAATTACTGTTGAAACCAGACCTCATGCATTTGGTAGGATTAAGATACGAGATACCTGTTCTTGTGGGAGGGACCCGGATCAAACAATAATTGGTTTAATTAAATCAATTAACTAATTGATGGCACACGTCGAGTTTTTGAGGATTCCCACGGTAAGGTTCGGCTGAAGGTTAGAACAAAGGGAAGGACAGAAGTTAGTATTGTAAAATAATGACTGTTACTTACTTTCTTTAGAACTACAAAGGTTACTCTCGTAAAATAATTAATGTGAGGTTCGTTTTCTTTTCCCTGATTTCAAATTCGTTACAGTACATGGTTTAACTCAAACACTTCAGTACTTACCTCAGACAGCAGAACAATGCTTCCAATTTTTCAGAATGTCAATCCTGTCCAAATTTTACAGTTGTCGATATTTGAGTCTGGATTCAAGTATTAAATTACCCTCAGGTGTGTGGGATGACGTGGTAAATATTTGAATGGAAGGAGTTGTAAAAATTTGAATATTGGAGAGATGACAGAATTTCTCTGGTTGTCATGGTAACGGCGAATGTGCAGGTGTGCAGTACGTGGTAATATGGTAACATTTATTGTGCTAACTTTGTTAAAGTTAGACATATATATAGCCTTATAGGCTAATGGAGTGGCAGGTAGAGTGGGGGGGGGGGGGGACTTGGTCTCTTTACCATCAAGATAAACTTTGGTACAAACGTTGACCGTATCCATGTCCGTCGACTCAACACATTTCTACCCAATAGATGGCTACGATTTTAAATTTATAAGGGTCATCATAAGACGGCATATTTCACATATCAGACTCATTAATGAATTTAGACAGTTACTTGAATTTCTGACGGCAATACCCTGACCTAAGTTTCACAGAATCAGATCATTGGCATGTTCACCTATTGAGCACTGTGTTTAAATTGCCTCAAAACATTTTCACTCTGCTGAAGGAATGACACTTTTTCTTCACCTTCATAAACCACAACCATGAGCCGACAGGTTTGAAATATTCAAATTATCAACACTGATTGGCTGCTAGCTTGAACTGCGCGCTCTGGTTGGTCGCGAGTTTAAATACTGCAATCCGATTGGTTGCAAGGATGTATGTCAGCTACCACTCTAGGAAGATGGCATACACCGGAGTTGTATGCCAGCACATCACGTGATAGAATCAACTGAACTGCCAAGCAACGAGGTGACGTCACGTGCGTTACCATGGTGACATGTGATGCCCTGATCACGTGATTTTCAATTATAGTAGTTGAAGTGTACATCCCCTTTGGTGTGTTGCTGGCGCGGGGGAAACAATAACTGCCTCTCTCTCTCTGGTACTATGTTATACTTACACTTACAAGATAAATATGAGCACAGCTGTCACCTGATTCCGAACACGGGGTATAATTTCAGGTATATTTTACAGAACCCCTCAGGACCGGAACCACACAGAAAAACATGAAACTTTCGCACGCAATCACGATCTGTGATTGATCTGTACTGAGCGCGATTGCACGGTTGATTTGGAGTAGAAGAAAGGGCGGTAAGATGGTTGGTGAAAGTACTGAGCTTTACAAAACGTTTGTAAGTAACTTGATTATTTAACTCACCCTATGGTTGGTGAAAGTACTGAGCTTTACAAAACGTTTGTAAGTAACTTGATTATTTAACTCACCCTATGGTTGGTGAAAGTACTGAGCTTTACAAAACGTTTGTAAGTAACTTGATTATTTAACTCACCCTATGGTTGGTGAAAGTACTGAGCTTTACAAAACGTTTGTAAGTAACTTGATTATTTAACTCACCCTATGGTTGGTGAAAGTACTGAGCTTTACAAAACGTTTGTAAGTAACTTGATTATTTAACTCACCCTATTCTCTGAAGAAGGAGGGGATGTAAGGTGGGGTGACATTGGGTCACTTGGGTTGTTATTACTGTTCGTACTGGCTGATAGACTGTCCTGGGACGACCCCTGGAGCACCCTCGGATCAACCGGCCCGACTTTGGATCCTGGCAGTGGCCCAAACGGGGACGAATGGAGGGGATAACTCCCTGTACCGTCTATATAAGGGTTAAAGAGCTGCCTAGCGTCCATCTGATCCCGAGCTAGAGACTCGTATGAGCTGGGAGAGTAGCTGCCTGCTTCTCTCTGGGAATCTGATATTATCCTCCGCTGGGGGTTACTGTCTGTTTCTGAGATGTTGTTGGAGGAGCTCTGGGAGTGGGAGTCTGAGGAGGGCTGGTAGAGTTTGGTTGCTTGGTCACGTGACTTGGGTTCGGCTGAGTAATCGTAGGTGATTTTACTGGGAGCTTGGGGTCCTCGAGAGGAAGTGGATGTTTTGGAGGTGGCCTCGCTCTCTGCTCGAGAGCTAGGACGAGAGCTCTGTCTGGAGTCCGGACTTTTTACTTCGGACTTTTTGGCTGATCTGGAGTCTGGTCCGGAATGGTAACCGGATTTTTTAGCAGATTTTTTAGTTGAGTCTGGTCCAGAATGATAACCGGACTTTTTACCAGATTTTTTAGTTGAACGAGAGTCTGGTCCAGAATGGTACCCGGACTTTTTAGCAGATTTCTTGGCTGGGTGGGAATCTGGCCCAGGATTTAAGTCTGGTTTCTTGGCTGGACGGGAATCTGGCCCCGAACCAGATTTCTTTGCAGAGTGTGGGTCTATTCCGGAATTAAAGTCTGAACGAAAATCTGACATGGGATTAAATTCTGATTTCTTTACTGAACGGACATCTGATTCGGCCTTACTGTCTGATTTCTTCAATGAACGGGAATCAGGTCCCGAGTGATATCCTGATTTCTTTCCAGAACGAGAATCTGGCCCCGAATGATAGTCAGATTTCCTTCCGGAGCGAACGTCTGGCCCCGAGTGATACCCGGATTTCCTGCGAGGATTTGGTTCCGCGGCCTGCGTATAACTCATCTTATTTGACCGTCCAAAGTCTGAACTTTTTGATTTTCTGACACGGAAATTACTACTGATTGAACTGAGAGCAGATTTAGACTGATGTCTTTCGTTTGGCTGCACATCAGCACTAGAAAAAGAAACTGAAGACTTCTTACTAGGAGCTGTGGAGCTCCTGTTATTACTGGAAACGGAAGAAATCTTAGTCAAACTAGATCTGGAGGACGACAAGCTCTTCAAACTAGGATCCTTGGTGTCCTGAGACGGCATAGTGTTCTCACAATCAATACCTGACAACGTATTCAACAGGTCATCAAACTGCTTCTGCGAATCCTCGAATCCCTGCCTGATATTCTGCTTCATGCCACCGAATTACATTGAATCTTGACCTCCTTTAAAACAAATAAGAGTAAAACTAGCGATGAGGTTAAGTTAAATCAGAGTGAAGTTTGATCTCGGAGTATGATGTTATGTCTAGAGGAGGAGAAATGTAACTGTATAAGTGTGACTTAACAATGTTATGGTGAGAAAGAACAATAGCTTAACGTGACTTCATATAATTTCTAACAAACTATTCAATGTCAAGCAGACAAAATATACATTATATTACAGTATCTATAAGAGTTAAGGAGAGTTTATAGCCATGCAGGTTGAAGACAGAGCTCATGCTACATGGGAAATTTATCAGTCTTCCGGATCACTTCCTATAGACTCTAATTTAAGTTGATTCTGTGGCAAAATCGGCTTGAAAAGCTAAACCGATGAGATGACACTAACACAAAAAATTTCAAATAAATCTGGAAAGAATGTAATCCGGATTAGATCCTCGATAGTAAAATCCGGAACAATCCGGAACCGGGAAGTAAAGTAACCGGAAACAAAGACAGACGAAAGATTAACTAAATCTAGAACAAACACACACCGGGATCTGCAGACAGAGGACAAAATATGTATGAAGTAATGTGTAAAAGCAATCCAGAACAGATCCTAAGTGATGAAATCTTCATTAAATCCGGAACAAAAACGATCCTGGAAGTAAGTAAGAACAAAACTGAACAAACCCGGACACAAACCCGGACACAACCCCGGAACAGACACAGAAAGTAATGTGCAGACTCCCCAGAAACAAGAGTCCCATAACATAATCCACACAACAACACTGATGACGAGTTACCAAGTAACGGCCAATTAGACTGTATATAAAAACTCTCCCAGTCTCTCTAGCTCCTTCCCTCTTTCTCCTCTCTTCTCCTCTTTTCTTCTTTCTCGCTAATGTTTTACGAGACGTTGAGAGCCGGAATATAGAGCCGTTATTTAGGAAGCAGGTAACGGTAAAAACGGGGAACTAACCGCGGCTTCGTGGGAAAAAGGAGCAAATAACAGGGCAAAAAATATGGGGTATTATGGGAGACGATGATGTTATGAGGAACTATGAACAATGAACAAAGGTCGTCAGTCAAATACAGGTTTTTCGTGTAGACGATAAAGACTAAGTCATAAACACTCTCCTAAACACTATGTTTACAGTTTAAACACTAGCCTTATTTCATGAATACTATGTTCAAAACATGGTCACCTCTCCAAATCTAGGGCGTGGAGAGAAGGTGGTATCAGGCACGGTGCTACGGCTTTTTGAGCTCAAATTGGATAAACTGGTAAAGAAATGTTGTAGAAACGAGAGAAATGTTGTAGAAACGAGAGAAATACTCGGCAGTTTAAAATGAAGTAAACTGTAAAACACTAAACACTATGACGCGTTCAAAACATAGGTCACTGGTATGGGTCGAACACGTGATGTAAATTGTACGGTACCACGAATATTTGAGTACTAAATGGAATGACAAACGATATAAACTGACGGAGAACTCTGAGTCCTGAGAAAGAGCCAAATCGTAAACAGAACACTAAATATAAAATTACAGCGGAGAGAGCAGAGAGAGAGAGAGAGAGAGAGAGTGAGAGAGAGAGAGATAAAAGAGAGAGAGCGAACAGAGCTCGCAACGGAGAAACAGATGAAAAACCGACAAAAAAAATACCGAAATAAAGAGAAATACTGAAATGCAGCATGAAACTATTAAAAAATCAAGACGTAAACAGAACAGTCAGAAATAAAATACCGCGAGAGAGAGAGAGCAGAGAGAGAGAACGAGAGAGTATATTGAGCACTAGAAAGAGTCCTAGACCAGTCCCGGAGTGCTAGAAACCTAATACTGGTGCACCACGACCACACTGTGCCACCTGAACCTCTAATTGTATATCTAGTTGTAGAGGGGAGGTGTGGAGGGTGTGAAGATATAGGAGGGAGTGTCCAAACACAAGGATATGTTTTTGAGGATAGATTAATTAATGAGACAGAGAGTAGGGGGGGGGGGGGGGAGTTTGAGGAGGTAATTGTATGCTTGACGAGTACTTAGAGTTGCGAATTAAATAAGTGTCTTGGTGTGTGTGCTGGGTGTGTGGTTGGTATGGTTACAAACCGAGGTGGCTTGTTGATGAGGTCACGTGACTTGAAATATGTCGTCATGGTAACACGTGTCAGGATGGTAAACTACTGGAGAGTGGAGGGTAGTGGTGATATCACCTGGATTTCCAGGTGGCCTGTATCTCTGACAAACAGGATGTGATGTAATAATAGAGCTCTCTTTACGTTCTACATCTACTTTACTCTATTTTGGGCCACCTCAGACGGTGATCTGGGCTATTTTTGTCCTCAAAGATTGAGACATTTGTCCAAATGTTTCTGGGACAGATTTCTCTATATTAAGACGCAATGAAACTATATAACGTGCCGATACATTTTAAATTTTTACCAAAGATCTACAAGATCTTGCATCTGATCCTCCGGCATTAGATCTTGCGACGTTTAAAATAACAGGATGTCCAGTCCCCTTACCAGAACACCCCCCCCCGGCCCCTTACCAGAACCCCCCCGGCCCCTTACCAGAACCTTAAGTAGAACAATCACAAAGTGCTAGTAGAAGCACGTTAGTAAGCAGTGCATGTTCGTGTAAGTACAGAGCTCCAAAAGGAGCTGAACGACAAGGTTATGAATAATCAGCGAGATTAGTGATTATGGTAGGAGGGAATTAGATTAAAAGGGACTGAGAGAAATTTAATTAAAGAATTAAAACAGCCGGTCCGAAAACCAATAAAACTGCTCAGTGGTCACTAAGTCTGTTGATTATTGCGCTATCTTTGTCAACAGCCCAACTTTACAATATCAGACTAGCTGACTGAATGATTCATAAGAATGGCCACATCCACAGTGAACGCTTCATTCTGAGTATGTAATGAGATAACCACCTAATTAGGTAATTAGTGGGTCGTTAGTGAAAAGGTTGGCCCGCTGTTTTGTTAGATATTCAGAGTACCCCAAATTATATAGAATTTATTGTTTTGTTGCCACAAGTATAGCTAATTACTTGTTAACTATAGTACGAGAGTATAATCTGTATACAAATTATTTTCTTAGCAAAGTCTAGCAGTGAAGTAGGTAAACAAAGCTATTATATCATTAAGTCATTACCGGACCCGTAAGGTTACCACTACGTAGACCTTTAAATTAATTAAATACCCAACTTCTATTGACTTGTTGAGTATCTTTAATTCTACATGTAATTGTAAATAAATGTAAATCTTCTTGGAGGCGATTTGTTTTGACACGTGATGCGCCTCCCCAACATAAGCTAGATCAAAATATTAAATAATTAATTGATTAATTAATTAATAATTAATTAAGTAATTAATATTTACTAAGTAATTAAATAATTATTAAATAACTAATTAATTAACTAATAGTAATTAATAGCGGAATCTTACCGCATCAGGTTTCTCCTCATTTTTAGTCTTCAGAAAGTGCACTACAAACAGTTTGGTAGCTTGCTGCTTCAGTTCTATCAGCCTCTTGTGGCATTTCTCACACATAATGTTGATTGGACGTGTTTTATCTGCTATAAACAGACCCTCCTGGAATAATAACATTTAATTATTGATTAACTAATTTGTTAATTATGCTAGTAAATAAGTTATTGTCAATCAATTTACAGTGTTATTAAACAAGTCACCTTTTCCAAACATTGCTAAAAATGCAACAATCTAATAACCGCTAATTGGTCGGTAAATTCGTTAACTAATTATGTTAATTAAATTTATTGAATATGCTAATTAAACATATCTATTATCTAATTACATACCATCTTGACGGGTAGTTTGTCGACTGCTTTGTTTTTAACAGGATCCTGCTCGTTTATGTTGATATCCTGTACTTTCATGATCTCACACCATGTCTCATATACTAGCTGTTAGTTGGAGAGGTTAATTTCTTTGATATTTGTCAACAAGTAATATTATCAATAATATTATCAATGATATTATCAATAATAATAATAAAGTAATATTATTGGAATAAAAAATTCAAAAAGTAATATATATATATATTATTATATATTATTATATATATTATTATATATATCTGGAACAAATTGTTGCTGGGCAGAGCTATTAAATGTATTTTACTTTAATCTTTATATGTTCAATTTAACGATCGAATTCTAATTAAATTTAGATGGCTGTCAGATTTTCAGATATTTAAAACGTTTGAAATTAATGAAAATATACGGAAAATTATGAAAACTTCAGCACAATCAAACGCTATTCTATGAAAAAAAATTATAACAAAGAATTTTCAACTTTTCGGGAGTCTTTCAACGGAAAGCGGACAAATGACATGTACAGAATTTAATTAAAAACTAATGCAAAAGTAATAATAATAAAACTGCAAATCGTGGGCGCGTTTATACTGGGTTGCAGATATCATAATATATTAACCTACTTTCTTATTTGTAAGTTTACAACCGATATCTGAATTTGACTTATTGGCGAGGGTGGGTCAAAGAAATTACGGAAAATTAATAAACGGAAAAACACAGAAAGTCATGGGAGTTTGTGGGAACAAACAAACGGTATTTGTGATACAAATTATAACAAAGGCTTTTCATCTTTTCGGGATCTTTCAACACAAAACGGACAAATGAAATGTTTAAGAATTCAATTAATCTGGATCCGCCGCTACAGCTAAGAATAACTCTTAGAAAGATCAAAAAAGTGCGCAGGATAAAAATATAGAAATCCTTGCTCCTTGGAGGCAACTATTTACAGAATGATAGGTACTTCAGAGGAATGTAACTGATAGTACGTGTAAAATTGTTTAGTAGGAGATATAATATGTTAAAATAGAGCAACAATCACTGGCAAACTCCTTATATGGGCATCACGAGACAGGTTAATATGAGCCTCAAAGTCGGCCGACACTTTAAATATTGATCATGAATGCAGGGTGCACTACAGAGTACAGAGGCAACATATAATTATATTGCCGCACTCGTATCTTGCCCCTGGTGCACTATAATTAAATTCTTACC